ATAACACGATAATATATGTCTGGATTCGCCATAAATTAGATCGCATCTTGCGCACAATATGTATCGCGGTTGTAAAACGCGATCGAGCGGGAATAATCGGGCACGGCGAGCGTTATCAATCTCACGACGCACTTTCAGAAAGGAATGCTTCAACTGTATAACGTGGGTCAGTGGATACGCTTAAAATACGGCGGTATAATCGGTCGTAAATTCGAGAGCACAGCCACGCTGGTGCGTAGCAGCTACGCGGATCGGTGCGTCATGTCGGCGCAGGCATTACTCGCCGGATTGTTCGTGCCGAGTACCGAGGACATGTTCGTGCCCGGTTTGGCATGGACCCCCGTTCCTGTACACTCGATACCACGAAGTTTGGACAAGGTATAATCCAGGATCAGACTTATAATATAAATTCTAAGCTAAAAGGCTACAGCTTAAAACCTTCAACAAGTCCCATACATTATGTCTTTGTCTTAAAAAGATCCCTTTTATTACGCGAGGAAGAAAAAAATGCGTTATCTTTAGATCGCAACAAGTTTGAATCAATTATTATAATCTACGCGTAGCCAACGGATTTTATGCATAAAATTCCATTATCCTACGTTGCGAAAATACTCGAATTAAAATAGTCCCTATGACAAAAAGATATATTTTCAAATAGTCTTAAACGAAAGACAAGTTGCTTATCATAGAACACGCAGGTCTGTAAAGAAGCTTATTTTTCAATACAGTGATGTTATTGTAGCTGATAACGGTGAAGGCGCCATGCCCGAGATTGGAGGAAGCTCTAAAACAGGCATATATAGACGAGGCAAATAAATCGGGCGAAAAAATGGCCGATTATTATAAGGAACTAACGGAGCTCACCGGAAAGAATATGAGCACGATCACCGACGTCGAGTTTCTTTATAACACTCTCGAGATCGAGGAGCAACACGGTTTGCAGCTTCCAGCGTGGACGAAAAAGTTTTACAACAACGAGATGCGCGAGATAGCCGCTCGTAGCTTGGCTATCTTTACCGAGGGCACTATTCAAAAACGTCTTCGTGGAGGTACGGGCGATATCTCTGCAAAGGCAGCGAAAGATATCGCTGCAAATGCACTTTTTAAATTGCATCGCGAGATCTTGTATTGCAAACTATAACTATGTCGGTATTTCCAGGTCCGCTGCTGAAAGAGATTTTACAGTATATGGAAGAGAATAGAAACGGTCCCAAACCAAAACGATCTTATTTTTATTCTGCTCACGACATAACTATCGTCAACGTACTGAGGACAATGGGATTTACGAACGAACTTTTTAAACCAGATTACGGAGCGACGCTGATATTGGAGCTACATCTCGTCAATAATGGAGCCGACCAAGAAGTGAAGGTATGGTTATCGTGGTATCGTTATCGTTAAAGTTTATGACATAGCCACGAATATCTTTCTAATCAGAAATTGTTTCGAATATCGCGAAAATTTTAAAACATCTAAAATTCCATCTAAGAATTTTGTTATACATTATTATTACAAATTATAATAGATACACTTAATAATAAATGTCTAATTATCAGAAATGATATGTGTTTAATGTAGTTAATCAACGGCAGTATAATTGGCAATTAGACATAATCGCTGAAATTTGTTTAGAATTCCTAAATAGCCTGTATTTATATGCTATATTTATATGCTAATGTTGCACACATGTGTATTATCTAAATATTTCTCTCATTATTTCTCTCACAATTGTTATTCTAATGATTTATATATTATAGAATAATAATTATATAATTCTATTATAATTCTATTATATAATTCTATTATATAATTATAGAGAATATTAATTAATAAAATTCTTTTTTCTCTGTTATCGAAGGCGCTGTATTTGAATAATACGAGAACGGAAAATGCGCACTCTTTGGAAATTCCTAACTGCGCGAGTCCTTGCCTATTGCAAAACCTGAAGCAAGCATGGCACGAAGTGATTCCGAACGATTGGGACGCAGAATGTAAAATGTAAAACCCGCTGAATTTTGTATAATTGTACTTAATTGAAATTCATTATTACGCTCATGTGTGTGTGTGTTTTTACATCATTGTTATGTTTTAAATCATTGCTACGTTTGTAAAGCGAAACAAAAGATGTAAAATATTAATGCATTTAATGCGTGATACTTAAATTAATTTAAGTATATAGGAACAGTTATTTAATACTCATAATTATTATTCACATAATTGTTAATAGATATTAGCAAATCAACTGTGCCGTCTAATGAACTGTTAATAGATATTAGCAATTAACTGTACTGTCTAATGAACTGTAGATTTATGCATCTATAATATTATCATAAAGTTATATATAGGCATTAAAATGATAAAATGGGAAGAAAAAGCATTTTATTTTCGCGACTACAATAATGTAAAAAATTTTATTGCACTTACCAACGTTGATCCTCTAGTGAAACAAAATATTCGAATACGTACTCCGTTTTTCGTCTACATGCGTCATGCGTACTCGAAGAATCCATCGATAGGTGAAGCGTCTGCTGTGCAAATTCTGTAAAAATACCATTTTTATTTTAAACCTAAGCAAGTTTAATTAAAAAATTGCTAGTTTAATAAATGTTTATTTGTCGGTATGAGTGGACGCGTTACGAGAAGTGCGGTATAGAAGGCGCCTCTGGCATCTTATTGCAGATAATCGTCAAAACAGTTATCGGTGACAGAAATGAGACCGTCAGATTCTTATGCAATACTGATAAATGATAAGAATGTCATTTCAGTGATATCTATATTGACATTAATATAAGATAGAAATTTTTGCACGAGAAATAATAAAAAAGAAATCTATCTGTCGCTCTCTAACAAAATATTTTTCCAAGAAAATTAATTTTTATTATGTCGTCTGTTATTTTTCAATATAAAAATATATTTTTATAAAAGAATTTTTCAATTATTTCTAATTATATTATGATTAAATTATTTGATATTATTATTTAAATTTTTTATTTTTTATTCTTTACTCGCGGTTGCTGTTTGCAGATAATTTTTAAACTGAATTAACTTCCGCTTTTCAAACAGCAGAAATCGTATATTATATCATGATAGAAGAATTTAAAGCGATAAGAATATACCTTTTAAAGATTTGAGTTTTACTAAAAAAAATAATATCTATAGATTTATATGGCAAAATATGTAGCTATTATAAATAAATTATTGAAAAATATCTATAAGAAATATATTATAAATAAATTATTTTCAGAAAGAAGACGATTATAAAATGCTACCGACATTTGAGCACGAGATGGTAAATGCTGAATTTTTCAAATCATTTCAAAACTCGACGTTGCATTGCTAAAGACATCCGCATTCTACTCCTTAGGGAGGCTGCGAGTGTTGTGGTCGAGTGCATAATGTGCACGTTACAAACTCGGTATCCCTGCAAACCAGTTGTAATTCAAACGAAGCTTGTTAAGACGCATAAATGGACATGAAATCGTTTAACCGGGATGTGCTCGTTTTGCTTATGCAACAGCTGACACTGGACCCGTTTTGCATATCATTGCGTAATATCATGTACGATTATTGGCGTGAACTATTGTCTGTTGCGCCGAATAGTGCGTGCGCAATTAGCAATTAAACAGTCGCGCTCGGTACAATAGATCAGAGGAGATATACCTCTGATCTCAATGCGCGTTCTACTTTCGGATAAATTGAACGTTTTGCCATCACATGGTTACAATTAACTATTTCTGTAGCACTGTATCGCGAGCGAAAGTGAAGATGATATTTTACGAATGAGTGAACGAGCCGAGAAAGTAATTTAAGGTATAAGTGACGACGAAATAAATACTTGTCGAGGCGAATAAATATTCAGTATGATAGCATTTCTGATTTGATATGCGAAGTTTTCTTCAGGTAAGATCACTGCGAAGAAATCAATAGCAATTGCAATTTTTTTTCTGAGTTACGCGAGTTATCGGCTAATTAATTTTAACGCTGCTTCCGCAATATTTCATTTTTAGGTCAGTCTGAGTCAAGGGCTGCGGTAGATTCAATGCCGTGCATTTAACAGGAAAGATAAGACGGAAAGCTTATAGGCTTATCGTTTTTCGTGACTCACCATTCAACGATTTAGATTTTTATTCGCGCGAATCCCGCCGCACGTTGATCGCTCGCGATTCAACAACGTTTCGCCATTCGATCGGGCTTGCATGAGGGAAGGTCATAGTTATCGATTGTCTCATGGCATGGCCGCGCATTCGCATTGTTAACATTACGCCTCCGTTATGTCACTGTCATTCGTCAACTATTACAGCGTTACATAACTCACTGTCCGTGGGAGTGACGCCCTATGTTTTCCCGATGCCGCGGATCTATTTTCTCGTTAAACAAATGTCAAGAAATAAATGATTGCGTGGATATAGCCATCCACGTTTTCCCGCTTTAATGACTCATTGACTCGTCACGCAATCATTCTACACCCAAACGTAGCGAAAGAAAAAAAAGTGATAAGCTAATTTCTGAAATAAATAAATAAGCAATGAAATAATAAGTCAATTTTAATTATTAAACCTATCAATTTCTTTGGATACGGAGCTATTAGCTTGCCATTAGCGTCTTCTTAATTTTTAACAATTTCACAACAAGATGTGCTTCAACGACTACGATAATAGAAGATAATATGAGAGCTCCTTCATTTACTAATGAATTAGAGCTGCCTTCATTAATGGCAGATGAAAATGAAGACGAAGAGGAAATAGAGAAAGAGGAGGAAGCATTATTTATTTGGCGCTTTTGAAGCATAATCTCTTTTGGACGCGAGGTGCTCAATATATAAATAATTTAATTATGTAATATTTTTTATATATATCGCATATATCATAAATTATATAATTTATATATATCTGTATATATTTATGTATGAATTTATAAATTATATAATTATCATATATACACGACAATAATATGTTATAAATTATATACATATATTTGATGAACGCAAGCTCGATTCTTCTTCTTCGAAGAGCAGACAGATCTCGACGTAACCCTTCGATTAAGAACGATATTTATCGTACCTTGATGCGTCCCCGCGCTCCTCGGCATTCCTCACGTTGACCGACGACGAAAAACGACGAGCAACTTTCGCGAACCGAGTCTTTCCCTCTCGACGGCCATTACGCGACTCCCGTTTGCAACATTGCAACTCCGAGACGACGAAATTTGAAAAATAATCGAACTCGACAGCTTCGCGTGGTAACCGAGAGCACCAAACTTCGCACGGGAACGCACGCAAGGAGTACAAGATGCAGAAATGCCGGGAATATTGCGTGAATGTATGTTTGCATGTTTGCGAGCGCGTTTCGCAACGCGAAAATCGCAAAAGTTGGACAAGAATCCGACGAAAAGCGTGAAAATCTGAAAGCGGATCGAGAGCTCTGTCGGTCGAGCTCTCACCGCGATCCCATCAGCGTCGTCGCGTTCGACAGTGGGGACCAAATATACGAGAGAAAATAGATAATGGAGATCAAGTATAGGCGATACCATCTCGTATTTCGTCGACGTTTCCTCTCCGCGTCCGGCTGCTCCTGCATATCTTCCCGTTTGTCCTCGGCGCGAAGCGAGGCGTCCCCCTGCAGTCCCTGCACCGGCAAAGCGCGCGCGTTCGACCGCGAAATTATGAAACTGTCGATCTCGACCATCGACCTGAACTTGGCGCGCGTTCGGCAACTGATCAAAATCGCAATGAAACGATTAACGAGATGTATATCTCGAACGTTTGTTCTCTCGAGATTGGAGATTAAATCGCACAATTAAAAATGTCCATTTCTATAACTTTAATTTTGGCTTTTTAATTTTTTTTCTTTCTAATTTTTAGAACAAGAAAAAGACAAAAAGTCAATTAAAATGAATATTTGAATCAAACCGAGATTAAAATTAATCTACATTGATAGAAAAGGATATAAGAGACTGTCAAGTCGCCTAGCTTCCACATTCCCATCTTATTCGTTATCTCATCTCTATTCAATAAACTCAGTTATATCAATCAATTTATTTACTCATAAATAATTTAACTAATTTTTAATTTAACTAATTTAATTTAACTAATAATTTAATTAATGTTTTGTGTTCAAAACATTTACGAGAACGGCTCATAATCCGTGAATCATATTTCGTGCGTCTTCCAGTCAGCATTCTTTTCCGCCCCCTCTCCCTCCCGCCCCCTCGTTCGCGCTTTGACAATTGTCAGTTGTCGGCACTGACAATGAGCTCAATGCCGTATACAGTGGTTGTTGTCGCTCGTCGACAACCTGTGAACCTGTCAGACAGAGTCGTGCCGTCAGTGCCGTGCCAACGGTCGCGCGCCGCCCATCTTCTCGAGGATACATCTGCATCAGTTTTCCAGATTTATCGCTCGCTCTCTCCCGAGGCTCCCGAGAGCCGTTCGCGCAGCGCGTTCGCGACGCGCGCCTTCCACCGCCGCCGTTTGCGTCACCGGCCACCGCCACCGCCACCACCACGTCCGCCCCGGAAGTCCGCGTCGCTCCTCGCTCTCTCGCTGGCGATCTTCCGCGATCGGTCGGGCTGCGCATCAACGCGCATACGTCACGTCGGCGGCGGGCCACCTCGTCGTCGTGCGTCGTGTCTCCCGTTAGTCCGCGATCGTCCTCGCGTCCGTCGCGCTCTGTCAAGCGCGCCCGCTCATCCTTGACCGGCGAATCCAAGCAAAGGTTGGTGCTCGGCGACGACGACTCATCCAGTTCTCCTTCCCCTCCCTGCCTCCCCCTGTCCTCTTCCCCGGGGCCGCGTCCACGTGCTCCTTTTCACACTTCTTGCATTTTCGCACTTCGCTCCTCGTCACACGCTTCGAGTGTCTCGTCTAAGGTCCCAGGTGACCCAGGTCCCAGTCGCGGAAGGAAAGGAGGTGGTGCCGGACGAGATATCGGGAGAGAAGGTGGTACCAAAAGTCACTATCTAGACCAAGACCCGACCGAGTTTTTCAGCGGGCAGAGACGACGTTCTCCACGCGATATCCTTTCCAAATCCTTTCAGCCTGCCTCGAATAGACACGTCTCTCACCAGCGTGGCATTTTGGAGGCGGAGCGGTCCGATATAATCGATCTGATAACCTTAACCTTTGTAGGCCGCGCTCCAGCGCGGAACGACCGATCTAGAATTGTTAGCCTCGTAATCGTAATCCGGCTTAAACGAGGGAAACGTAATTAACAGGACGCGACGTTACTTGACGCTAAATGCAACCTTGGCCTCGGAATTCAGGCCGTGCGCGAATGTGCGCGATGACGAGTCCACCGGAAGGAATGTAGAACTCGCAACTTTGTCCGCAGATCGCCAACATGTTCAGCTGGCTAAATCGCGAGGAGAACAACAAGCAGGATCTCTTCGAAAATGTCACCGAAGGCCTCAAGAGGATATACAAGTCCAAGTTGCTGCCGCTGGAGCAGTACTATCAGTTCCATGACTTTCATTCGCCGCAGCTGGACGATCCGGACTTCGACGCGAAGCCAATGATCCTCCTGGTCGGGCAGTATTCCACCGGCAAAACCACGTTTATCAAATATCTGCTGGAGAGGGAGTTTCCTGGCATCAGGATCGGACCAGAGCCTACTACGGATCGGTTTATAGCGGTCATGTATGATGAGAAAGAAGGGGTCATTCCTGGAAACGCCTTGGTCGTAGATCCGAACAAACAGTTCAGGCCACTCTCAAAATTCGGCAATGCGTTCTTGAACAGATTTCAGTGTTCGACCGTAGCGTCGCCTGTTTTGAAGGGCATATCTATAGTGGATACACCTGGTATATTGTCTGGTGAGAAGCAACGAGTAAGTATATTGCTTTTGTGTAGCTCTGCTTTCGCAAATATATATATTTGCCTGTGACAAATATAGTAAATGCTAAATAAATGTGTTTTCTTCAGGTTGACAGAGGCTACGACTTTACTGGTGTTTTAGAATGGTTCGCCGAGCGAGTAGATAGGATTATCTTGTTGTTTGATGCTCATAAGCTCGATATATCAGATGAATTCCGTAGATCCATTGAGGCCTTACGTGGGCATGATGATAAAATTAGAATTGTTCTTAACAAAGCTGATATGATTGACCATCAGCAGCTCATGAGAGTATATGGTGCTTTAATGTGGTCGTTGGGGAAGGTGTTGCAAACTCCAGAAGTGGCTAGGGTCTACATTGGCTCGTTTTGGGATCAGCCGTTAAGATACGATGTTAATAGAAGGTGAGTTTTTTTTGTATCATTTATTTTATCAATCATCTCTATATTTTATGTTTGAACGTTGTGTGTGGATCTTCTTTTAGATTATTTGAAGACGAAGAGCAAGATTTGTTCAAGGACATGCAGTCGCTTCCAAAAAATGCCGCATTAAGGAAACTTAATGACTTAATTAAACGAGCGCGTTTAGCAAAGGTACGTATATGGAGCAAAGAATTTGCGTTAATTTTTCTACAATTGAAAATCTTGGACTAGATATGGTAGAAAAACTCTCTCATGTTCTATAATTCTATATCAATTTACAGGTGCACGCGTATATAATAAGTGCTTTACGGAAAGACATGCCGAGTATGTTCGGCAAGGATAACAAGAAGAAAGAGCTGATAAAAAATTTGGGCCAGACTTATGATCAAATTCAACGAGAGCAACAGATCTCACCTGGTGATTTTCCAGATCTAAAGAAGATGCAAGAGAGCTTAGCGCATCACGATTTTAATAAATTTAATCCCCTGAAGCCTAAGTTGTTAGAAGTGGTTGACAAAATGCTCGCTGAAGATATCGCGAAGCTTATGGCTATGATACCGCATGAAGAAACCACCACCGTTTCGGAACCACTTATTAAAGGTATTGTCAACATTTTGTACATTTAAATCGTTTTAATCTTGAATTTAAATACTTTTAAAAAAATTGCTCAAGTTTGCTAGAAAACTTTTGATAAAGACAAATAAATTTAATTAATTTAAAAAAATTAATGTGATAAACTATATGATACAGTACTTATATTTTAAATTTATAGAAAAGATTATGTATATATAAATATATATTTTACTCATGTAATTTTTTTAATAAGGAGGAGCATTTGAAGGTGTAGAAGATCAAGTTAGTCCATTTGGATACAAAAGAGGAGAAGGAATCGATGCAGGTGCAGGTGAACCAGAATGGATTGTCAATAAGGAAAGGTATAAATATGATAGCATCTTCGAATCGCTTGGGCCACAAGATGGAAAAATTACGGGAGCAGGTAAGACTGATAAATTTTTACAGACTATATATTTACCCTTCTTAAAATAAAATATTCTAATTGATGCATAATTTTATATTACCAGCGGCCAAATCAGAAATGGTCAAGTCCAAATTGCCGAACAGCGTGCTCGGAAAGATCTGGAAGCTTTCAGATGTTAATAAAGATGGATTCTTAGATTCTGACGAATTTGCCTTAGCCATGCATCTAATTAATGTAAAGCTCGAAGGATACGATCTACCGGCTGAGCTTCCAGAACATTTAATACCGCCATCGAAACGCGACACATAATATACGATTTTTGTATTATAATTTATCATGTTTCGCAAATGGTTAACACACGTTTAGAATCATGAGATGGTGGCTATTAATTAGCACGTCTTTATTAATCGTGCGCGCGTGCGGTTAACAGATCGAACAAGAATTATAAAATTATACTTTTACAGCTGTATCATATTATGTGTATACTATGTTACATTGATAATGTATCAAGGCCAGGGGACATATATATTTGCAATTTTAAAGCATAATATACCCAGCATAAGACATAATATAACCAGCAATTGACACCGATAAAGATATATCGGTATTTTTCAAATAATGTATTTCCGAAATGTATGGAGATTATACATATACAAAATTATACACATAGTACATGATACTTATACTGACATAATAGTATATAAATAATTTAGAACATTTGTTTCTTTTTGAGATATATCAAGTTGTTATATCGATACAAGAATTTTGATTTTGAAATTATATTTATGCTTTATAACTTCGAAATTCTTTTATATATGTATGTGTGTGTCCTGAATTACAAAATGTCGCTGATTAATGAATAAGAGACTGCAGTGCGATACACTAAGGCAAATAGATTTTTTTTTAAGTATATTTTACAGAATATTTTTGAGAGAGATACATTCTAACTTTAGAAACGTGTTCTCAGGACGAAATAAGCTTAAATGAACTTAAAATTTAATGAAAATACTTTCTATAGAACAAAAAATTTATTATACGAACCAATACAAATGATCAAAACCAATACATTTAAAGTTAATACTTAATATGTTTCCAAAATTGAGTCAAATCTTTTTGGAATATCCTGTACAAAAAGCAAAGATAAATTGAAGATTGATTATGTGGAAATATAGAAGAAGACAAAAGACTGGAAAAATATAGATTATGCATATTCTAAAAAAAGGATTAACCTAAACTCTAATAATTCACTTTTATAAACAGTTAACGTTATTTATTTTATTTTATATATTAGAATGTTTCGTTTTCGAGTTCTGTGGGAATAGAACTTAATCAACTTGACCAAAATATTCTCAAAACTTTTGAAATTTTTTTCGTTATTTATTTATCAATAGATAGCAATACGCAATACCTGTTATCTAGTTAAAAATTGTTAACTCAATTTTTTGATTCGTTTAAATTAATTTACAGTGCAGTCTATGTTTATTGCATATCCATTATATTATGAAATCTTGTCAGATTCGTAACTGTTAGATTTAATCTTTTCTGCGACATCGACCAAAGATACAATGTTACAAATAAAAATATAACACACATGTGCAATATTAAGAAACTAACAAAACTTATATATGATTGGCAAATTCTATTTATAAAACCTTTTGATATTAAAAAGCTTCTCTTTCCTATTTCACGAATCGTGAAAGAAGCCGAAATGTTAGAACAGTTATGTATTTATTATACTTTAATTATATACGCTGTAAAAACGGCTATATCATCACTTTATTGATTTCTTAATTGCATTTTTCTATTAGCACTGCCTTCGCATGCCGCGAGTTTATGTGATATCAGAAAGTACATTTGTATATTAAAAACTACTTGTACTCTATTCGGAAGAGAGTACTGGAGAGTACAAGTTTATATTAAAAGATAATGTTAATCAAAACAAAATTATTTTTTACATAAATAATATATAAAGTGTAACTTGAGTTTATTTGTCAACAGTTTCGAAATGCTATGCATGTAATGTTGCTGCATTATTTTTCTTCGATTAACACATTCCATTTTTAAATAGATCCGTTTAATCACAGTTGGCAAAAATAAAAGTCATGTTGGACAAATATTAGAGTAATTAATAAACGAGAAGAGAGGAGAATTTACAAAAAGAAGCACGGCACATTTAGACACTTTTAATATTCGATATTTTATTCATTTATATATTTATATCTTGAAACTATATGAATAGTTTTAAATATCTATATGTGTAAAATGTAAAATATTTTATATATAAAATATTTGGATATATATATTATATATTGCATTTAAATACAGCAACAAATACGCACGAAATCGTAATGGTGCAGCGTCTTTTATAGAATGTATTTATCTCTGTATTAACTCTTATATTTATGTAATAATTATACTTGTAGACACTATTTTTAGAAGGAACTCATTAGATTTCATCGAGTTAAATGTTAATGCATTTATAAAGAGAGAATTACAGAAACTTATTTTTTAATATATTGTCTTAAAAATAACAGAAATATTTAAAAAGAAAGACTTTGGTTTATCTCATGTTAATAAATAAAATAAATGAGATATCCGTGTTTCTCTTACTAAACAAACAAAACCTCCGACAAATATTCGAAGAGTTTTATGGTGAATAAACTTTTAATATAATATTTGAAATTCCAGGTCTTATTAATTTGTTCATAGAGATTTTATTAATTGCTATGTACATAAATGTATAAAAAGTATCACAATGGGACCAAAATTATTTCTGGTCTAGTTTTTTCTTGGTTCCTTTTGGAAGAATGGACCGCGTCGGAGTAAACGGCAAACATTAGTTGCAGTAGTCGAGTAACACATCAATTACAGATAAGTACATTACTAACATTTGTTGAGGCTTCCGTTTCCTCGTTGCAACAATTCAGTAAAATGAATTGTGGTATCAGATGCAAGAAGTCATCTGATGAATTTTCTTTCTTATATGTATTGAAATAGATTAGTTTTTCCTATGCCATGATTCATTTAATGGTATAGATTTGTGAAGTATGCATTATATATATGTTGCTTTAATAAATAGATGCATAATTTAGTCCATATATCCTACATTTATAGCAAAAAGAGCTTATTAAGACTCTTATATAAAGAGGCTTAGTATAACTAATTATTAACTCACGTATTGAAAAGAGAAATTGTATTTACCAAGCTATATATCAAATCTGCATGATGGCATGTGAAAAAAATAAATTATCCGTATATTGCAACAAGAATTCATGATAAAATAAAAGCCTTAAATTCAATTTAAGCACTTTGTCTATTATAGTTCGTCATGTTTCGTGTGAGAATTAATAATCTCTAAAATTTCATCCTTGATTACCTCAGCCGTTGCCGCAGAAATTTTGATACCATCGTATCTGTTTTGTTTTTTCTGCTTAGAATTATATAACATTAGTGTCGGGAATACTTTTATATGTGCGCATTCATGCGCATAAAAGTTACAATTAATTCTTCCAAATTTAACTTTTTCCAGCAACTGAAATTAAAGTAGGATTTATAATCGATCTGGCTACTGTCAAATAAATTATAGATTGTAAATTGGTTATAATAAAGTAGCATTTACCTGAGCAGCAATTGCAAACTCAGGTTCCATCTTTTGACAATGCCAGCATTGTGGTAAATAAAAATCGACGAGCCATATATGCTTGCTATTCAACAGCTTCTGATAGTCGGAAGAATTCAAATCATGGATTTTCTTTGGGAAGAATGTTGTTATCCATGTTAATATAGATAACGAATCTCGTTGCCCATTGTACAAGCTGCGTAAATGATAAAGATGCATGATGAATGCATTGATATTTGTTACATTAATCATGAATGCATGATTGAACATTGCAAAAAGTTGCAACTTACGCGATTGTATTTAGACCCTCGCTTCCTAATGGATACATTCTAATGTTGGGGTAAGAACGTACTCCTTGCGACGCGCATAAGGAAGCCTCAGCCTCGCAATCTACACTGGCAACGTTTACAAACGACAAACTGCTCAGCGACTTCGCAACGGCCATCCATTCGGGTGCTAATCTTTGACACGGTCCACACCATGGCGCAAAATAATCAACGATCCATATAACTTTACTTTTCTTCTTCGCCAATTTATGATAAAAGTTTTCCGACGTCAGTTCTATAACTGTATGAAACAATCAGATATAATGAAATATGCGAAAATACACTAATATAATTATCTTACATATTATATCTTACCTGATGGATTTCTTTTCTCATTAATGAATTGAATAACATTCGCAGCTGTCTTTGGTAACGTGAATTGATGTGTATTGCTACCATTTATGAGCATTGCGGTAGGATAATACTGTATGTTGTATTGATGACACAGCGTGTTATGAACGGTACAATCAATGGTACCAAAACGAATTACTGATGCATCAAATTCTAACGACGCTCTCCGAAGTTCAGACAGAAACTGTATACAAGGTGGACACCACGGTGAAAACCAATCTAGGAACCATACTTCATCTGCTATAACATTTTGCTAGAGTTAGTATCCAGCATTGTAAAACCTTTCGAAAATGTGATTCGCGTTTACAATATAATACCATGATTTCTTTGTAATATCGATAACGTTTCTTCTGCAGAGAGAGCCCAAACGTTTGTAGCTTTCACACTAATTTGCACGAACTTAATAATATCGTTATTGATATTTTTTCCATGATTCAATTCAAAAGCTCCGCCAGGCTTAAGCATGCCCCAGATTGGATAACGATTTATACCCAGTTTAGAACAGAGCTGCCCGTTTCTGCCACAATTCATTTTACCTACAAGATAATACTTCATACTGTGTAAAAATATTTTATATTCGGTATCAGATCCCCATCAATGGATCACAGAAATATTTACCTAGATTAACACCACTGGCCGAAAACTTCTTCATTTGCAAATTCAAATCTCGCAAATTTGCCGTGTCGCCAATGTAAAAGCATACAAGCCAGGCAACGTTGGACTTGGTTTTCCTAATATGCTGTAAACCATAAAAAATATTCCTGATAAAAATAAAATTAAAAAAACAGGAATTGTATATAGTAAGTACATGCACTAACATATGACGAATGACATATACAAATTAATAATATTTTAATGTAATAATTAATAATAATATATGTAATATATTATTAATAGTAATATACAAATACTAACGAATTATAACATTTTGTTTACCTCAAAATCATTGTCAAGTAACTCTTGTGGACTAGGCAATTGGTCCAAGAGCCTTTCTATCAATGTATTTATATTGGATATGTTATCAAGGAATATAGGCTCCCAAGAAGATGCATTATATATCGGTAAGTAGACCGCGTGTACATTATAAGACATCTTATCATGACAATTGCCACTTTTGCACACAAACACCCTTACATCAATCAATTTATCCTAAAAGAACCGTTATAATGCTATTTAACAATCGCGGTATCTTAAAAACTAAATTTAAAAAAGTAAATTAAAAACGTATCTCAATAAAATCACGTCACTTACGAATGTAGCCGCTACAATAAGCCTTTCATCGGAAGTAAAACAGTTCTGTTGATCACCACATATAAAAATTAACATAGGTCTTTGGACAATGTTCTTGCCGCGTAAGAACAGCTCCCATTGCGATTCACTTATTTCAGGTACGTGGCTATTTAGTCCGTCTAATGCAAAACGTGTAATGGCCTCCTGCGTTTTTTCTCCTCTATAATGCTCCCCATGCTGTGAATTCTTTGAGACAAAGAATGAGTTAGTATTATCAGTTGATTTAACTAAGATGGAAATATCGAATTATGTGCAGATTATATAATTATATGACATAATTATATAATCTGCACATAATTCAGATTATATAATTATATAATTTTCAAAAGATTATATAATACGATACTAATTAAGAAATTGCACATTTTTTCCGTATATATTTATATATACCTTTTGGAAATAGAGCAATGTAGGATAGGCACGTATTCCCACTTGATGACACAATTGGCTATTATATTCACAATTGACCGCTGCAATTTTCACGACACCATCAAGTAACTTAGCAACTTCTTTCCAGGTTGGTGCTAAGTGATGACAGTGGCTGCACATCGGAGAATAGAAGTTTACAAACCAACTTGAGTCAGAGTTAACAACACTTTCATCTGTACAAAGATATACATGCAAAACTTTAATATCACACATTTTTTAATTATTAATTCTTAATAACTCATATTAATATCAAGCATATTAATATCAATATATTTCGTTTCGTACTTAACGACAGGGTCAACAGGTACAGAAAAAGTTATATACTCACAATAATCACTCCTCTCCAAATTGATAACATGTTCGTCGTCATCGTATATAAAACTGTTTTGATAGTAACTCCAAGAGTGATAGGTTTGTTTCTTGTGAGAGTTATTAAGACCATCTTCTCCATAAAGATCGTATTTTTTCCTTAAGTCATTATCTTTCAACGTCTCATAAGCCGTTGTTAATCGAACAAACTTATCATGAGCATCTGGATCGTCCTGGAAGTATTAAAATATTATTAGCGACATAGCGGACAACAATGGTATATTGGCACTTTAATCCCACGTACACTATTTTTGTCAGGATGATGGACGATGGCCAGCTTCTTAAAAGCCTTCCGAATCTCATCCTGACCAGCGGATCTGCTTATACCAAGAATCTCATAATAATCTTCTCCCCGTGTTACAGAAACAATAATAAAGAGAGCAGCAATAATTTTATACCTGCAACAAGTACAAATATAACTTTAGATACACATTATATGCTGCATATATTAAATACACCTTACAATACAGAGTTAAGTTCTATTTCATATTATTGCTCAAGTAAATAGGAATAAAGGATTAGCTTCAAATTTATTTTTATGCAAATTTAGTTTTATGCAAAACAGTAGCAGAAAAACGGATACGAGTCTTTTGCGAAATTCTTCTCCAAATTCACAGTGTCAGTACAGTTAATAAAAAAATCTTTTGCACAGTTTCCAGATTTGATAATACATTGCACTCACATTTCTATAAAACCTTATTGCGGCTACGTTGCACAATGGATTTGGAGCTCCGCTCTTAAGTGGAAATCAGTCTTTCATCGTAACACCACGTATCCTCGTGTACTCCCACGCTCTATGATGTTATCGTTTGATACCGTGTTTGGGAGTAAGCCAGTAAACCGCAGATCCTGCTTAACCTCCAGTCTCGATATCGTCGTTATAAAAAAGTGTAGTGCCAATTATTCTCATAACAAAGTTTCCAGCAACTCTTTTAACATCGCATTCGATTCTCAGAGTCAACTAAAGAAATTCCTATTTCATCTTCTCGAAAATTTAATTCTTTCAATTAAAAAAATTAAGTATCTAAGTTTCATTTATTACAAATCGTTCCGCATAAAGTTTATTGTATTATATTACAAATCGGTTCTGTTTGTCATACTGCAAACGATATAATGCAGCAGTATTGCAGCTGTTCCTTTCATACATGTGTGTAGGAAGAAATTTGTTTAATTTGTTTATACATAAAGATGCATTCTTCGCGGTAGAACTTCTTGTATGTACTCATCATTTATCTCTTTTTCTCCAACGATTAATTATATATCTGTCTCATTTCAAGAGCAAAAAGTAGAAGCCACGAGAAGTTACAGAAACGAGTGTTTTGCTCCTCGTAAACTAAACTTTGCTAAACTTCTTGGGTTCCTCATCTTTTCTCTCTCGCTCTCCAATTATCACCAATTATCTCTCATTCTCTCCTTCTCTCCCTAATTATCTATCTCATTTTAGGTGCAAAAAGAGCAACGTAGTACAGCTGTACATACGTATGTAACAGCTGCGAAAACAGGAACGAGGGAGCCAGTAACCGGAAACGCTGCATACGTCACGCGACAGCGAGCCTTTAAGGCGCGTTTTCAATCAAGCTGCCAAAACGCAAAGCGTCGGGGTCTTCCTTTTTTCCTGCTAAAACAATTGTTTTTTAATTGTTACAATGCAACGGATAATCCTTACGGGAGGTTTTAAATTCAGCTTTAACGTAACAACGAGAAATACACATCGCAGAGTGGCCGATTCACCATGAAATGAAACATCATGGCCGTCAGCCAATCAGCGATTCGTCGCTCGAGTTAACATGTCCGTCTCCAGCCGGCGTCGGTTACGTTGCCGTTTGAAATCTCCAGCCAATCGGGGCGCGCGCGTCCGACGCGTGGGTGCCGCCGGGGCGACGCGATTGGCGCAGCGAAATGGGCGCGCAAGCACGGCCAAGCTGGCTCCGAGCCCAAGCCCAAGGCATCATTGAGCCACGTTCAAGTTGAATTACAAACACGATCGTCGGCGAGAGGCGAAAGATCACAAAAATCGGTGGCGCCGGAGTGTTCCGAGGTGCGATCGCGACGCGACGCCGGACAGACCAATCGTGAGCGGTGAACGGAGATCAGGACGAATGTCACCCAGACGGACTCGCGCAGGTGAGAGAAACGAGGCGTCCTGTTGATCCCCTTTCGTTCCGGGTGCAAGGTTATATAGCCACCCTCGACGTATATTTTGTATTTTGTCGCGCGCGTGTTTCGAGAACTCGAGACGCTAACGCTTATCGAATCGATCGTGGAAGTTATTTAAGTGACTCTTATCATTTGGGCGACTTTGACCAAGCTCCGGTTAACTTGACCGGCAGAATTGTTTATTCGATTTTTTTTACTGCATAATTTGTCATTCCTGATCTTCCTCTCCAACATTCCTAACCTTCCTTCAAACAATAATTAATTAATAATTCTATTCTTGTTAAAAATATTCTAGCAAGTGTTTTTAAAATAAGTTAATCGTATAGCTTGGTTGTAGTCCCCCAAGTTAGTCTTGGATTTTTCTCGCAAAGCTTTTGACGCTTTGGAAAGGATTCTAAAGTATCCCGTTACTTTGCAGCAGCGGCGGAACAGTCTGCTGTTTCCACTAGATCCAAGGCGCAAAGAATAAATAATGTGAGCCAGGATGTGGCTAAGTCGACTCAGAAAGTCAGGCAGTCGCAGAGGAAGGAGAAGTCTGGTAAGAGCGATATGGAAGCTGCTAAGCAAAGCGCCAAAAAGGAATCGCCTGATGCGGAGGTAACGGTCAAAAAGTCCGCAAAGAAGAAAACTTCTCGTCGGAGGCTTCATTTGAACAAAGTGGAAACTGAAGATGTGGACCAGAACGTGGACAATGAGGCAATCAGAATCTTGAGAGACAGATATTGCGACAATGTCACGACGGTGGAACTCGTCAGGCACAACTTTCTTCAGTTGAATGCCTCAAAAGATCTGGATTCAGAGAAAATACCTAATGGAAAGTTACAACAGAAGATCACTGCAAAAATATCACCCATCATAGTCACTCCCAAAAGCACACCTCCGAAGCTCAGTCTCACGCCTCACAGATCTAAGAAGACGCCGAAGAAATCCCCGATCTCCTTAAGCTCTCCAAAGACGCATTCAATAGCTATACCAAAGCTGTTTAAGAGCCCAAGAAAATTATCTCTCGCTGCCACTGGCGAGGATACTGAGAAGAGTTTGGAAAAACCGGAGAGCGATTCTCATGCTACAAAATCACGAAAGCGCAAGAAGGACAGTCCGAACGATAGTTCCGGATCTGATGAAAGCACAGTGATATCACCGACAGAAAAAAAGAAGCACAAGAAGTCTGATATAAATTTAAAGGCAACTGTGCGTAGATTCTCGAAATCTCCGAAAATAGTACTAAAATCTCCAAAATCGAAGAAATCGAAATCGCGCAAATTGAAGTTGTTAACTCCATCCCGGGTGAAAAAGAGCCCGTTAAAAACGTCTCCTAGTAGCCCTGGTACTTCGTCAAATCTTAATACCAGCTCGCCCAGAATTCGTATAAAAAAGTCTCCGTTATCCAAGGGAAAGAATTTATCATCAATCAAACATCGTTTATTAAATTCAAAGTTAACAAATACGTTGACGCCTTCGCAAATAAAAGATGTGCTGGCGGAACCGATCGTGCTGTTGAAGAAGCTATCGCCTGAAAATCTGAAACAAGAAAATATAGTTGCTAGCAAAACTCGATCAGACACTTTTATCAAAGTGAGATCTCCCTCAATCAGGGGAGCGAGCAGTTCCAAGGTATTAACACCAATTAAAAAAGCTTCCGTAAGTATGTCTCCTAAGCGAAATTCCAGCCCTAAATTAAGGAACAGTAGTATGGAAAAATCACGATCTAGTAATACTAATAGAGTATCACCAAGAATTAAATATAATACGTCAATACCTTTAATGTCGTCCACTCCACGAGAGGGAAAAGCGACATTAATGGACACGAGTTTGGTATCTGATACTTCTAATGCTTCTGTAAATAACACGTCTCTCAATACTAGATTAAGACATAGGAGTCAATCTAACGTGCATTTGTCTAACACAATGGATAAAAATACTGACATTAAAAATGTATCTAGACCTTCTCTATTTGATAAAGAAATTAATGATACTAGTCAATCTCTCCTTTCGAACGTCACGAGACGAAATGCTACTTACGACAAGGATAATACGATGGAAAAGAAGCAGGAAAGCAACAAAGACAACACCTATGAACTGGAGCAACCGCAAACAATAAGTTTGCGACAAATGATTAAGAAGCGTACCTCAACAGAGGCGAATTTAAGCTCGAAAGATAATGCGAAGAAAGCTAAAGTGCGCTTTGCAATTGGAACATCTGGCGGAGGCAGCGCACGAAAATCCGTTAACAAGCTGAACGGATCGCGATCAAGTATTTCACATGATGTTAGTCCACGAAATAGAAGCAATATTATGAATTCATTATCTAAATCGAAAAAGGTTGAAACTCCAAAGCTTACTCAGAACTCGCTATTTTCTCCTTTCAAGAGATCAAGTCCAAGAAACCACGGAGGCACACCGAGAGCTCAATTGAGTAGAGTTCAAGTCACACCAAAAACCTTTGCATCAACTGAAAAGAAATCAGGTAAAAAAACCAAAAATCGCTTACATTCCACATTTATTTCGATTTTATTTTATAATGTAATAACACACGCGGATTTACTTACAGAAAAAAAATCATCTACGAAGAAAGTACCAAATTTCTCAAGAATACATGAACAGATGTTTGCCAAATCAGAATCGCTCGTGGATGCAAAGAAACGTTTGGAAGCCAGACACGGCAGACACCTAGCGTTCAGTAATTTGCTAACATTTTTTTATTCTGCATGCCTTGGCGGTTCTTATAAATGCTAAAATTTTAAATTGTTTTTCTAGAACTTGTTTCTACGAAGACAGCGGTAAAATCGCTAAAAGCAGATATGGAAACGGAAGAGAAGAAATTATTACCAACCGACACGAGGGACGGTATTCACAATAGATTTGGGTTTAAGTTGAAAAAACCAGAAGCTACGAACATTATGTTGAAAAAACAACCAGTTTTTTCAAGGTACACCAGATTTATCTTGAGAAAAATATTTTATAAGTTTTACAGGTCAATTTATTCGCAAGATACTGCTCTTCTATATTATAAGTTTAAGATAATAAATAAAAAAAAAAAAATATATATATATATATATATATATATATAGATCTGTAAAACTTTAAGATAATTTAATATAAAATTTTAAACGAGATATGAATATTTGCAGGCAAAAACAGCAACATGAAACGCGGATGATGCTGAAGGGTGTACGAACAAATCGACGATTCGAACTGCAAATGAAAGCTCGCAATGTAAACTCGTAAAGATCCATGCTGTATTATATATAGCATGTACCTCGATCTTTCTTTTTGTTGATGTAGTTTATCGCATAAGTTTTTCTCTCTTTTGAAATATGTGAAACCGTTTTTACTAATATATTAACTTGAAAATTTTGGGGAGGGAAGAATTTCAAGAAATACTTCGAATATTTTGTTTAATTATGTTCATGTAAATATTAGGAAACGCGTGTATCATATGCTGTCCTTTTTTCTAAGGGGAATGTGTTTTCTATACATATAACTGGTTTATTACCATAAATGAAAATTAGTGGAATTAAGAAAATTAGTGGATATTGCTTTAACATGTGTTTGTACAAATTTATATGTTTTCACATAAGTCTGCTTTTAACTATAATTTTCTTTTCTTTTTGTTGTTTTTTAAGTATGAACAGTAGGGATAAAAACACTAAGATCTTTCACAAAAGTATATCTCTTTAGAGAAATTTTACATCTCGAAATGGAGTAAAAACCCTTCAATTATTAATTTATACACAGGGACAACAAATGATTTAACAGTTAATAAAATAAGATAATTCGTAAGATAAGCATTATATGATATTTTTATGAGTTATTCTTAAGTTATATTAAATTACTGATCATTTGTAGTGTATTAAGATTTTAATAAGTTAGTCGGTTTCTGAACTGACGACTAATTTTTTATTTATAGATAATCCACAAGCAATGTAGTTCGATTTATTTCTATACTTAATATTTGCTGTAAACAGTATTGCCAGATAAGCTCGTATCAAGATTATAACTAATAAAAATGCTATGGCTTTCTTGGATGATTTGTATAAACTGTAAAATTACTTTTCGTAATCTTAAAGAACGTAAATTGGAAATTATTTCTAAAAGTTTCTTCGTGTATATATACATATATATGTACAGGATGTTCGATAAAAGTTACCTAGTAATGACAGAACCATAGCTTTTTTTTATTAGCCTTGAGAGTATCTTTGACTGTAAGATAACGCGACCAGAGAAAGCCATCACCGAAAGATTATTTCGACACGGGAAGGACGTGAAGGCCAGTCGCTTTTTTTTCTTGTCGGATAGAGGATTGAGGTCATTGAGGTGGATATTACGGCGATCTGTCCAATCGATCCCTCCATTGTAATACAGAAAGATTAATCGACTCTAAAGAATCACGGTGCAAGAGACCAGAATAAATTTTGATTAAGACTCGAACTCGATTTTACAAGCTAATGTTTTTTTAAATAATGGCTCTGAGAGCAATATTATTGTGAAACTTACATGATTTATATCCGAAATGTTTCGTGTTAAGAAAAGGAAAATTCAAAGTAATACTAAGCTTTTCTAAGAGCTCTGGGAGCTCTGATCGAGCAAGATTATCGAGCTCATGACTAAGTTTATATGTCATCATTAATCGAGTAGTAACATTTGTAGTTATAACTTTCTAAAATGCGTGCTCAGTTAGGTACACTAAGAGATGTTATTTTATCTCCAAAGAAATCTTCATTTTGTTAAAGAAATACAACATACACTTTTCACAATTTTATTTTAGCGTTCACACATTTCTTTAAAACCAGATTTATAAGTCGACATCTCTTCGTCAACGAGTGTAAGAGTAATAACTGATGTCAATAAAACCGCATTTAACAAGCGTTTATGATTACGTTTATATCGGCTTATAATCCGGTTTAATAACTACCGTGTACTGTCGCATCAAAAATTTATCTTCTTTTGATTAAAAATTTTGGATTAAATAGTATACGGTAGTTATTAAACTAGATCGTAAACCGCTGTGTAAACATATATAGTCCATTATATATTTTGTATCAGTTATAACTATACTGATGTTATTAAACCCGATTTAATAGTGACGTGCCAACGTAGTCCATGATTTGTATATATGTTTCACATTAGGAAAAAGAGAAAATTTGATGTAATTTGGGAGAATAGTAGGAGGGTAAAATAATGTATCATTTCAATAAAGTTTCTTTCTATCTTGTCAGACGTGTCTCTAATACATTACTTCCTGCTACCGTGGAAAGAAGCGGGATGGAAGAGGAATCTTATTTGTTCCTTTTCCTTCATTTTTGTGTGGAATCTTATTTGGTCGGTGCTCTTGGGATGGTATTCACCGTCCGATTTTATATTTAAGACCTTTAAAGTGCGATCCTGAAACGTCATATAATTATTCTGTTGGACAGATATAATCTTGAAGCAAGACTGGATTTAAAATCAGACTTATGTTCATCTCTGTCAATGCAGATTAACTTTTAATCTCGGTTCAACTTACCTTTTATCTCTTTCCTAATTCCTAAAACTAAAAGAAGATAAAAAGTAAGTTAAACCGAGATTAAAGTTAATCTACAATGGTAGAGATGAACATTAAGATTTCAAATTTAAGGATTATCGGATTATCCCTCCTCGCGATTTCAATCGATATCTCATTAATCGCGGTCCCGATATCGCCGCGCCGACGAGACACGTGTTGCGTGCGCGTGCACAGTAGAAACACCGACCGGGCGCGCACGCGCGCTCGGCGGCGCGCGAGTAGCCAAGGTGGCCACAACACGAGGGCGAAATCGCGTCGGTCCGTACGGTACACACACGTCTTGTATGTACCGCTTTTTGTGACAGATGTTTTGCGCGATTAATCCGCTTTGTTAATTCGCGGTCGCGCGGTCGCGAGCGTGTGCAAGAGTACGCGCAAGTGTGCCCCCTTCTCCCGCGGGTCCCACGCGCGCTTAAGAAGCCACGCGTCACCGCCCGTCGCGGTGCTGTCATCGTGCACGAAGAGTCGACATCCATCGAGAGAGTCCGGAGCAGAGACAGAGAAGGAGAGACATCAGGAGAGACGGAAAGAGAGAGCGAGCGAGGGAGCACCGAAGGAAGGAGAACGCGCTTCGTCAAATGTCTCGCGGACGAGACGGTTAGATATCTTCCTTCGTTGGCGAGCGGAGAGGAAGAGAGAAAGAGAGAGAGAGATAAAGAGAGAGGTAGAGGGTGATAGAGAGAGGGAGAGAGACGGAGAGACTCGGCCAGCTGGTCTTGCAGGTTCGTTGGGGCCCCGTCACGAACGCCAGGAAGCATCGTCCGCGCGAGGATCGCCCGGGAGGATCGTTGGGGGGAGCGATAATCATCGCTCGGCGAAGCTCGGCCTGCTCGGCCGCGACGTGCCCGTGCCATCATCGGCGACGACAATGGCAAAGACGTACGATTATTTATTCAAGCTGCTGCTGATCGGCGACTCCGGCGTCGGCAAGACCTGCGTCCTGTTCCGGTTCTCCGAGGACGCGTTCAACACCACCTTCATCTCGACCATCGGTACGTTCCGGTGTCTCCCCCGTCTCCCCACCTATCCCCCCCTGAGATCGCCGCCTCGTTTGCGGCGGTTTGTGCGCTTTATTAATCCGCTGGGGCTCGCGCGGCGCGGGCCGGGGTGTGTCTCGAGAAAACGTGTTGCCACTCTGCCACTCGATAATGGACAAAGAGCACATTATGCCGCTTACAGTAACGTGATTCATCCCGCGCCACGCGCTTGTATCCACTTTTCCACGCATCCTCGGGGAATGCTCCGAATTCTTGACTCATCGTCTCTCGTACGTTTTTTCAGGCATTGACTTTAAGATCCGTACCATCGAATTGGACGGGAAGAAAATCAAGCTACAAATATGGTAAATATACTTCATGTTCCTTCTCTCCTCCACCCGCTGATTAATTCGAGTGCAATTTAGATTCGTAAAGTCGAGCTGGATCTTTACGATAATGCGACACAGCGAATGTATTTGCGCTTGTGTAGGGACACCGCTGGACAAGAGAGGTTTCGCACCATCACCACGGCGTACTATCGTGGCGCGATGGGAATCATGTTGGTGTACGACGTTACAAATGACAAAAGTTTTGAAAATATAAAAAACTGGATTCGCAATATAGAGGAGAACGCGTCGGCGGACGTGGAGAAAATGTTGTTAGGCAATAAGTGTGAGCTTACAGACAAGAGGCAAGTGACTAAGGAAAGGGGCGAGCAACTGGCTGTGGAGTACGGCATTAAGTTTATGGAAACCTCGGCGAAATCTAGTATCAATGTGGAAGAGGCTTTTTATACTTTGGCGCGCGATATCAAAGCAAAAATGGAAAAGAAACTGGTGAGGAAACATGAATCATACCGTATATACTTCAAGGAGATTACAGATATTGATTGTCCAAATATAGATTATTTTGTAATCGGAATTCATATTTCTGTGTAATTGAGATATGCTGTAATCTATATTTCAACGTGTAAAGCTTTCCACGTCTAAAATCGACAGGTTAATAATTAGAATAATATAAATTAGGGGAAAAAATTGTGCTTATTCACATATGTATATTAGTTTTCACTTATGAACATTTTTTCTTACGTGTTCTATGAAATAACCACTGTTTCTCTGTTTCCTGTCTCTGTTTCTCTGTGTTTGGTGCTGGTCTATCTTGGCAGAAGGTAACTTTCTTCGTACACCGTTTTTAGTTAAGGGATTACATACCTTTTACAGACCTAAAACTAGGGCGAAATTAATGAATTTTTATTGTGGGTAAAATTGTTTTATTAAAAAATGAAAATACGTGTCTTGCAGAGTAGTCTTTTGAGAATATCTCCCGAAGATATTGATTTTTCGAAAAATGGCAGCGATTTCTAGTGAAAAATGCGATTTTGATCTAAAAATCGGTTTTCTTTTATTTATAAAAAAACCGCCATAAATTGAAAAAAAATTCTATGGCAAGCACTCGATCATTGTATTGAGAGTAGCTGTAAAAAATTGCATGCAAATCGGTCCACTAGTCTCCGAGATATTTCTGGTATCGATTTTCAAAACATTGTTTAAAGTTCAAAGAGAAAAGCATTGTTAGTTTTACGTGACACTAACAAATGCATGCTGTGGATAAATTGTTGAATACATTTTTTTTACTTTACGCAGCATCGTTGATGGCTGGGCCATAAAATACCTCCTTCCTTTGATGTGAAGCCTCCTCATTATCTTTTTTTGCTCTTTGCACATCGTCCGCTCGTCCTTCGTCGCGTGCAGAATTATTTTCGTTATTTTTGTGAAACTTTTCCGGGCTATAACTTCGTTTTTTTTTTTGTGAATTTTATTTCGTAAATTTTTCAATGAAAATTTCAGGGAATACTCTTAGGATAGTACTATTGAAAAATATATATCATTGAAAAATCAATTTTTCTGACCCTGTGAAAGGTATGTAATCCCTTAATTATGTATCTCGAATTCTATATCTATAACGTAACAACTAACAAAACTAACACTATTATTTTGTGATGATCATTGCATCTTGTATCATATATCATCTGTGGTCCGTTCACTAATTTATTTTAACAATATCAAATATGCAAGCAAATGTTTACTAAAAGAATATTGCGACTTCATGCTAATCAAATGTATTAACTCAAACAACATCCATTGTCTCAAATATTCTTCATACCTCTGATATCAATTCCGATCTATATGTCTTACTTGAGAATGTGTCATTTTTACATTATTGCATTAATTGTAAACTTGTTTAACATCTGGGTTTATGTTATGTTATGTTATTTATAATTAACTTTGTGAAAAATATTTTTAATAACTGAACAAATACAAATCACAATGATAATACGCATGATATGCGCACTATCTTAATTGCTAGACTGAGTAACAAATAACACTGTCTGGTGATGAGCGAAGTGTACCAAAAATGACGTGAGACTATGATGAGATTTTGTGCACTAAATATACCTGGTTAAGTTATGTCACGCATTATGTTAATACCGTGTCTTGTTTTACGCAGGAGGCATCGAATCCACCGAAAGGCGGCGGCCATCAGTTGAAAGCTTCAGAACCACAGAGGAAGCCACCTAGTTGGCTCGCCCGTTGTACTATACTCTGACCCCCCAAATATTTTCAACTGTTCAAGGAGGCGCATCTATTTACTATCATTATTTACTTATGTTCATTTCGTCGAACAAAACCGATGTTCTGTGGAACTTTTCACATCCCAAGTATCGGGTATAGTGGGTTTATTCCTTGACAATGAAACGTTATCGCATCGTATTAAAGACTCAGAAATTATTTGCATGAATGTATATTTTTTTTTGCCGAAGAAACCCTCAGAGGAGAAAGTATTAAAACATTTTATTATAGAGAAGAAAGTGCGTGTCGTTTTAGTTAATAATGCAACAGCTACAGAGTTTGTTATGCAAATATTCTACTTGTTAATCAGTATAATTAAATGGACTTAGGTGAGATAGTTCCGCGGTAATTTAAGTTGACCGGGATCTAATGATGTGATCTATATCTTATCGTGTTTCTTAAGAAGTTTACTGGTGTAATTTATTAAATCAGGTCAGATGTGATATATTAAACACACAATGAACTTCTCCTCTGGTTTTCTTGTATCAAGGGTATAATGGTTGATTTTTTTAATCGAAAAATCACTATTAAGTGTAAAAGTACGTGTTACTTAATTTTTATGGCAATGGGATGAAGTATACAACTTCTTATGCACGAAATTCTGTAATTCATATTTCAACCTGATTTACATCGTGTGTGTTTCTCTTATCGGAGGACCATGTGTCTTTAAAAGTATATATATATACATATATATATGATATATGTAGAAACATACATCACACCGTACAACATCACATACAATGACTAAAAATAAGAAAAAAAAATAAGATTAAGCAGTATAGGTATCACGATCGTTTTTATACTGTTACTAAGCAGATATAGCTTTTTCACAAAATTAACGGAAAAACGTAAAGTGTACTAGAGCATTAATTGACGTAACTAAAATGCCTTGTGACGAATTGAACAAGAACTTTTATAGAGACAATTTTGTTATATCACGGATAGTCATAGAATTTTTATTAGGTCTAAAAAAAAAAAAAGAAAAAGAGTGGAACGAGCAATGAGTACGCGAAGCTTATCTTCCGGCGGATTTACTTTGCATATAGAAATAGGGATCATTTACAGGGATCTGCAGTAAAAGAAAAAAAAAAAGAATAAACAAATCTATTTCGTTCGCTGGTTGTCATGATGTGCATCTTGCAAGTTTGCATTTTTACCATCAAAACTTGTTCAACTTATACTTAAATATACAAACGATTATTATAATACATTTTTTATTAATCCTGTACATAACACGTGTCAGTATATTTATTGATAAAATCCTATCCTGTTGTTTTTGATGTGGATGGCAAAGATAATTTTCCTATCTTCGGATGTGTGTCATAATTTACGGATTCTTCCGTAGGGCCTGCGTTGTTGATTGTCATTGAAGCTAGTTTATGTTCCAAATCTTTGATTTTCGCTTTATTCTTTTGATGTATCGCGTGCGTGCACAGACCGACGGTTTGTAAGCGTTGATTGAAGGTAATAATCTCTTCGCAGGATTTCTGGAGGTGTTGATGCTCCTCTTGAAGTTTCGCGATTTTACTAAAAGGTCAATGATGAGTTATTGAGTTACAAGATTAAATTTTCGCTTTGTTATTAACATTATTGTTGTAGAAAAACCGATCAGAGAAAATCTATTATTAAAATTGTGATAAGTTATAAGATTAGAAAAAAGCCGCATGTATAAGATTAAGATTCTAAGTAAAATAATATTGTATAAGATTGAGTGTTCCATTTAATTGCTGCGTATAAAAGGTCGAGCACGGCGAATATTCGACAGGCTTATTCACGACGAGGTCAAACGTACTGATCGATAGCGGTAATAACGCGCGAACCGTCACGTTCGAGATTCTTTAACGCTTGTTCCATTCTCTTGTTACTCGTGTCCCTCTGACGCAGGTTCTCCTCTAAGCGCCGAATTTTGATTGTACACTCGGCCTCGTGCACCTTCGCGGCCGCGGCTTGACTCATCAGGGACTCGTGTTGCTTCGCCATCGCCTCGTATTTGACTCGCAGCTGAACGTTCTCGACCTGATTTTTCGTTTGCTGCTGCTGCGACTCATTCACCACCTCCGTGACCGCTCTTAGACGCATCCTTAATTCGTGCGAGACACCGCGCTCTTTCTCCAACTCTAACTCCGTGCTGTATAAAGCGTGACGAGCTTCCAGAAGTTCCTTCTGCATCGTCTGCAGGATATCCTACCCTCGAAATGTACATGATTTATATGATATAATTGACAATCAAACCAGCCACTGTGTAGAAAGTACTTAATTATTTCTTTTCTTTAAAAGAAGTAATTTTTGTTCTAGCATTATTACTAAATCTCTCGATTTGGGAAAAGGATTAAGAATCTTTTAATGTGTGTGCAGCACTTAAGAATCAACACACTTGTGAATTATTTTTGAATTTCAAAATAAAGAATAATAACAAAACACTTTTGCTGAGATAAACTGTGCGTAATTTTCCTAATTGAAGATGACTTCGCATCAAGCTTTGATTAATTTAATCGGTAATTTCACTAGCATAATTGCTTCCAACAAAATTTTTTATCAATACATTAGAATTAATTATAATTAATTAGCATAATTCTAACTAATGTAACAGTTTAATTCGTCGTCTCTAATCTAATCTTTCTTTTTTTTTCATATTAAATAAACATTCTATCTACGTCGATACACATTCTATCATCGTGACTCAGAGGGTGACGTCGACCAAATTCCGATGAACTTAATCAATGATTAATTCAACCGGCAACATTTCTAACCATGTAATTCGTTGTCCTTAATTTAATTTCCTCTTCTTTGTTTTCGAGGATTAAACAATCAAAAATTAATTATTCTATCCACATGGACGAACTGGTACAAGTATTGCTCATTAATCATCAATTAAATTAATTAAGTTAACCGCAGTTCAGACGAAGTTGTCCTTAGAAATACGCTCTAAATATAATCCAGGTATCCTGCAATATATAAACCTCCGCGTATTCATCGATACTACTTCGTGAGTTGATTTAAGAACATGCACAGATATATACACGCGCTGGGCGCAAAGGGTTAAGCGCGCTTCGAGTGTTAATCAATATAGCCAGTCGTATTATTCACCGCGTCGCTTTGCAACTCGTAGAACTTTTCACGGATTTGCCGCTCCAATTGACAGACGTCCTGCACGCTCGGTGTGTTTCCATCATCCATAATTTGCGACGTGCTCTCGCCTTGGAGTATAATTGTTAATTAACGCGGAACGCGCCTGGAATTGTCAGCTGGAATTTTCGCGTTTTGCAATTGTCTTCATGTAGAAAAAGCAGGTTTTTAAATAAGAAGCTGATTTGAATAATGAGATCTCATATGTGTTTACATCGCACTATATGTACCTACAAAAAATGTATTCCCGTTATCTGGAACATGTTTATTAATAACGCCTGAACACGTCTGAAGTTCTCAGCTTTAATTTTCGCACTTGCGATTATCTTCAAGTAGGAAGGCAAGCCGCGAGTTTTCAAACAAGAAATTTGATTGAGAAATTATGATTACATAAATAGGATTAATTTAATATCAATGAACGCGCGATTTTTTTCCCAAATATGATATCGCATGTTTAATTCTGATACATACATGCCTATTTTTCTGTATTTAACTTGTTTTATTATTTATTCGTTACATATATGGCGAGATATATATATGTCTTAAAATTTTTGTAAATATATATATATATATATATATATATAAATTAGATTACATATAAGAATAATGAGAGATAAGACTATAAATATATTAACAAATAAATATCTATATTATATAATAATAAATATAATATACATTCAGCTCGTTCCATTATCCATTTATTAATATATTATTTGCGTTCTTTTCAGCTCTCATAAATTTTCGCCGTACTCGAGCTCGCATTTGTACTTCGTTTTCATTTCACGCCCTTAAAACACTTGAATAGTGCCTGAGCGTCTCTCCATTTTTCATTCTCATGTACTGCTTTTACATTAATCCCCCAAAAAGAAACAGAAAGATAGGTCACAGATGCTTAAAACGGGAACAAAGTGATTCAGAGACTCCTCTCGTAATAACACCTCTATATAGGATTTCTCTACAGGGTGCCTTGTTTCATTTCTTGCGCTTTTTACATTTATAAAATAAACAGTAAAGAATCTAACAGAATCTCTTATTAAAATTTAATACTTTGACAATGGACTTCTTTGGACATCGTGTTCACATATAGTTCCATGAGCTAGTCTCTATAATTTTTAATGCAATTGAATATTATTTGATGTTTGTTATTTTCACTGACGATAATGATAAATAATATTACTAGAATTTCCTCAACATTGGCCATTCAACAAACTTCATTTAACTTTTCGTTATAAACTTTTCAGAACCGGTGAACATTATCACCCAGTATATCCGCAGGCAGAATTACAGATCTGGCACATGGACCAAATGGAGTTCTGGGTTGAAAGCAGCGACGATGAGGAAAGAGAGAGAGAGAAAAAGAGACAGAGACGGGGATGAAGAACAAGGGTGGCCGCATGCGCATCCCTCCCGGAATAGCGAGTTTCGGGCCACCCCCGCCGATTATGGATGTTTAGTATCGACGTTGTTGCTAGGGTATCGTCGCTCGCTCCCACATCCGATCGCGGGGTGTGAGATAATTGAAGCTCGGTTGCGACGAGAGTGTCCCTCCGTTCTGCGACGAGATAATGAGCGGGATCGCGAGACGGCAGCCGGGGCCGATCGGCGATGCGCGATCATGTATCCGCCTCGCTACCACGCCGCGTTAGCGTCCCTCGTCGTCGTTAATCATGGTCCTGCGTGACCGGGATTTGTCAGGATCACCAGCAGCATGCCGTGCGACGACCGTTCGGGAAGGACGCGTGCACGTGTCGCCGCGATAGCGACCACGACGTTGCTCCTGCTCACGCTGAACATCAAGTGCATAGGTGCGTGCACACCGTTCGTAGGATACTCCAGTCTCCAGTGCGGGTCCTGCGATCGAAATTTACTTTTAAAGAACGACGGAATTGACAGAGAATATTTCTATAATATTTCTATATTTCGCTATAATGATGGAAAAAATTGAAGAGAAGATATGGAAGGTAGAATTTGTAACATTCTTCAAATGTTTAGGGCATTATCGTGACATCAGGACAATGATTCCATCAAAACAACTGATTTTAAATGAGAAATCACATTTCTATATAAAACTCCACTTAACTATGATATTTTCTTTTGAGGAAAGATATAATCGTATCTACTTTGTCATAACTTATTTGAAATGTGATGTTATGTGTTAAAATATAAATCTCTTCTCAATACGTGTGGAAGAGAATACGAAGATTTAAGAATCGGCTTTTAATTTCAAGAAATATAGATTACTTTTTATAAATTTGCATTTCCAGCACACAATTAATTTTTATCCCGATTAATTTTAATTTTATCATTTTATACGGAAGATTTGCAATTTTCTATTCGTTCAAGCTTAAGTTACTCTTGAGTAGCATTCAAAGGGAAGCACGTGCAACCCCTTGCATGGTCCAACCGCTCGTGGGCGCGATGATAATAAACGATGGTTTTGTTGATGTGCCACGAGATCGAGTCGGATCGATCTCTATTTCGGCGTTCATCGCGCAAGCCGCTATAAAACGTGATCGATCTTCGGACGCTGTTGCGAGGGTGTAAGCGAGCGTGCGCGAACTGAAAGATATAGCATTCAAAATGCTCTAAATATGTTGTGCATCTGTCGCGTTTATACTTGCAGATACCGAGAATTTAGGACTGGATGGCATTTGCATATTGAAAGGCCTTCATCCTTTTCTTATCGTCACCTATAAACATCTTACTATATCTGTGAGTATGTCGCTTTTTTTTCTTCCGGCAACGGAATTGTTAATATCGAAACATAAGCTTCGGTAGTAAGGAAGCGATTTTGGAAATGTAACGCAAGAAAATAAGTAAAATAAATCAATTTAAAGTTAATAAAGTCTTAATATTGCAAGGATTCTCACATCATCTGAATTCGTATATTTAATATGGCTATAATTAATATCGTCAATTACTAATTAACTGCAATTTCAAATAATTCAGTCGCTGAAAAAAATTATTATTAAAAAATATATATCTATATTCTTTTTTCATAAAATAAAATTGAATATTTGAAATTTTATCATTACAGGCTGTAAAGCCGATAAATTTTAAAGTAAAAAATACAAAGAAAACTTGATACAGTTCCAGAAACGTAATTGGAAATTCGGAAGCTTCCTTACTACTTCTAATTCTCGGTTTCGAATATTTTAGAAGAACAAATGTTACAGGTAGACACGATCGGTGTGCCTCATAACGAACGACTCATGGTAAGATGTCGAGAAATAGGTAAATATAAGTTCATCGGTGACTCCTTGCTACACTGCCGCGACGGTGCGTGGGACGGAAAGACGCCTTATTGCGAGCCTACCACGGCGATCTCCAATTACACCGGTACGTCGTAATATCTCATATAATAGCATTTAAGGCCCATACAATGCAAACATCTAGAAGACACTACGAGGACAACAGATGTCTATTTAGCAGTCTGCTCCAATTATTCAGAAAGTAACTGAAAAGAATACTTGAACTTTTGATGTCTCAATTCTTTATATTGTATAAAATGTCGTCGACAAGTCCCTTTTTAATTTCGATGTTTGTCCGAGAACAGAAGATGTACCTCCGACCATCGTCTTCGGTCTACCTGCTGGTTCGGCCGCGGTAGATCCGACTGGCGCACTCGCCGTTTACCCAGGAAGTATCCTGCACTTGGAGTGTCTCTTCGCTAGGAAGTTGGGCAATCCCGAATGGACGTGGACCTCAACTTTCCGTCGATATCTGACGGGTGAGTCACTCGGGTATTACCGCAAGTCTGAAAAGCGAGACCTTGGAACTTTTATATCATTGAAACAGACTCAAAGATCAGATCTTTCCCGGCTTAATGTTTTGAAATTTAAACATTCGTTCTTAAATGATTTATATTTTATTTACCTGTCCTAGGATGGGCGATCGCTGCACGGGAAAGAGACTGGAAGTATCGCCTGTCAATATACTATGCCAAACCTCAGGATTCCGGAATGTACACGTGCACCACGCCGAAAGGATTCAACAACTCTATAAGAGTTCGTGTCATAGGTACGGCTATTGAGTTGCACTTTGTAGAATATTAAAGAATTTGTTGCTATTCTTAGAATTTATTGCACCAATATTGATCACGTTCAGTAGCCACGATAGTTCTTTATTTTATACTTCGGTATTTCAATTTCGCAGATGTTCAGTGCCCGGTACTGGAAGTCCCGGAGCCGCCGTTAATAAGTCGTGTCGAGGGTAGCCGAATGGGACATAGTGCCGTATTCGAGTGTCCAGAGGGATACAGATTGGAAGGTGCTCCCAGCATCACGTGCCAGTACAACGGTATGAAGCAACCCTTGCTTCCAGCGAGCGTATAGTTAGATACAATAAAATTAAGAAAATTGTGTCCTTGCAGGCAAATGGTCGACGGAGGTGCCGCATTGTGAGAAGATCAAGTGTCCAGAGATAAATATCCAGGAGAACGCGTTATTGGAATTGAACGAACATAATAACACTTATGGCGAGAAAGCTCTCTTCACCTGCATGTGGGGATACAAGCTTTCGGGCTCGCAGAGTATGACATGCGAGAGGGACGGCAAGTGGAATGGATCTATGCCGACTTGTCAGAGTAAAACAATCATTTTGGAACAATTCTATTTTTAAAGAATTCCTTAGATAATAATTCTAATAATAATTCTCTTTAAAAAAAAAATGCAAAATGTTTAACTATAATTCTTTTCAGACTTAACTTTTTTTTATTATGAAAGTACAATCCTTAGAAAAAGATTCTTGTAAAATCAATCTTGGAATCATAATTTTGATTAGAAAGATTATGTGAAATCATAATCTTAGAGGAAATAATGCTGTAGTTAACAAAATATAACGTTTGCAGAGATCACTTGTCCTGTACCGGAAACGCCACGAAGTGGACGCATCGTCGAGCAACCGCGGTATTCTAAAAAGCAGTATCACAACCGAACATACAAAGTCGGCGCCTTAGTGAGATTCGCCTGTCAACCAGGTCATCAATTAATAGGAGAAGCGGCAACCATATGCACCGAGAACGGTACTTGGTCTCACGATTCGCCCGTATGTGAGTATCCTTCCTAAGTTTTAACATTCTAACATCTCAAGTGCGATTGACAATACATTAATTAACGTAAAAAAATCGCGCCCCTTTGCTGTAATTTCACGAAAAACAATAACTAAAGAAATTAATGTAATACTGTTCTACGTGATCCTTTTTTAAATCGTTAAGATCTTTAAATAACAAATTAATTATTTATTCCAGGTAAAGTAAGGTGTCCTTATCCAGGTGATCCTCCTCATGGCCGAATAGCGCCTCTCAAGTTTTGGTACAAACCAGGAGATAACATACAGGTGAACAGATTTCATTAATCAAATAGTAATGGGGAGATTAGAACATAAATGATAATTAAATAAATTTTCCAAAATTATTGAAAGGTAATTCTAAAATTTATAAAACAGGTAACGTGTTCACCTGGCTACGTGACTCCTCTGGAACCAGTAAAAAAACCGTCGTGTCGGGAAAATGGCATTTGGAGCGCACCACCGCCACCCTGCCGATCTTATAAAGAGGTGTGAGAGTTCGAATATTCGAGAATCTCATGAACTACCACTGCTATTTTATCTTACATGACAAAGGATTCAATATTCATTATTACGGGTAGCAAATGTGCATCAGTACTAAAAGGAACGTGGAAACTCGCGTGAAGCACTCTCTTAATTGTTTCGAAGGGTAGACACGTTACGTAAAAGTTAATGATATTATCAGGCGATGAATAGTTGCAGTTTACGATTTACCGAATCGACAAATAATCACGAGTAGATCACAATGGAAGGAGCATTTTGCGTTAAACGTAGATCATGGAATAACCAGTATTTTGTTTATAATTCTCTTCCAGACGTATAACGATTTTAATAAAAGCAAATCCCTTTTTCGTAATAAATATTTTCTCACAATTATTTCCATTTATTTTTGATAATAAATCGCGATGACATTTCCTTTCGCTACCGGGTAGATGCTAAACGAGTATTAAAATGTTAGCCTGACATAGTTACCGTTCTCGTTGCCATAATAACTGGAATGCAGCGTGCAACTAATCGGATAATGACAATTTCCTCGCTTGCGCGTGATGTGATGGTTAATACTCGATGTTGGTACCCAAAGGTTACAAAACGTCGGGGAAATGGGTCGCGCGAAAGCTCCTAAAGAGATACAAGTGAAGACATGGCTCATCAGGGACAAAATAAGTCGATATCGTGGAATTCTGAAGTTGCACGGTTAAGCATTGTTTAAAATTAATTAACATAATTATCTGTCCTCCATACGAATTGGGACAGACATATCCGCTCTGCTTCTAACTTAATTAGATAGAGAAATAGATCAGGATTTATCTTAGGATTGATATTAATAGCCATAAGTATTTTACATTTAAATTAAGATTATAGAATATTATACACAATGTTAGAGAAACGTTTTTACAGATGAAACTATATTTATGATGATACTATTTCTATATCAATAGCTAGAATAGAACTTTTTTTAGACGCAGATAAGATAGAACATTGTGTAAGAATTTCCTTTCGATATTTCTGAGATAAAATCTCTTTTTAAAGTAGTTCAGTAAAAAATATAAACTCTAAATAGTTATACCCGATTGTCCCGATACATCCAGCACGCGACAAGAAGCTACAGCTGTCGCAAGCAACGAAATTGAAATCGATAGTGTCAAGAAAAGTCGCGTCCCTGGAAGTTGATGTTAAGAAACATCGCGAAATTGTCACTGATTTCCGCGATGACGCTAAACAACATATCCTCAGATTGCTGGGCGACCACAGAAGATTTTATTTGGCGTTTAATCACCTGAAACCATCCGTAAGAATAGACCAACATTGCCTTCAAATTTTTAAGTGACTCAAATTCTGTAAGGATGTAATTCTGGGATGCACTGTAATACGAGAATCTTGTCTCGTAGGAAATTTATGCAGCGATATATCAAGATTGCGATTTGAAACGTCGATTCCTGGACAAGCTCTACTACGAGAAAAAGAGAAAATTGAAGCGAGGTATCGAGTTACAGGTAGAGCCTGATTTTTACGCGACCTAATAAATGTTAAATATTCACTATGACACGATTAAAATAATAATTAGCAAAGTGCTTACATATATAAGTATGACATTAAGTTAGATACCCATTAGAGTATTAATTGTAGCAATATATTGTAACATTATGACGTTCCTTATGTACTCAGTATGTAATCTTATGTAAGATTCGTATACATGTTTCGCGCTAACTTTGAGCCATAAAGATTTGCTCGTTCGCCGAATGACAAGCTGGAATATAACGTTCTGTCAACTGAACTCGAGAGGCAAAGCGAATATCTACCGAACTGCGAGCAGCAACGATTGATAGCACAATTACAGCGATCCATCGCGAAGCATAACGCGGCAAAAGACATATATTCTACGTATTGGTCGATGCTAAATATCCTGAGAAAAGTAAATCTTTGATTATTAAATACAAGTGGCATATTCCGAAGAGTATTTGTATCTCAAAAGCATAAGGAATCCAATAATTCATGCGGCCACATCATTCTCGTTCCTACGAAATCTTTGTAGGATGCGATATTTTTCAATACCCTGTTGAACACCTTAAAAGAGGACCAATCTTCCCAATGCAAAGCGATGTTGAAGGTGACAGTGATGGGTCAGCTGGCGGCGGAAAATCTGGACGACATCAGGCAGAAATACAAACGAATGTCTCGAGTCGTTTTGCGTAATATGAAAATCAGAGAACAAATGTTGAGTACTGTACAATATCAGGTGAAAGATTTGTGGGCTTACGCGCAGTCATTAGTGCGCATTGAGGTGAGTAATTACAAATCAGATCGAACTGCATAGGTCCATTGGTCCCTCTTTTTGCAAAAATTGTAAAAAAAATGATATCAATAATAAAATTTTGGTAAAAGATACTTAAATTAGTTAAAGAGTTTGTATATAAAGTAGATAGATACATGCTATTTATAAAGTTATTAGATAAAGTTTTAAAATATGTATTTCTCAACGATAACTTGTACGACGAAGAGATTTACACAGGTATTCTCTTACTTACAACTTAGAGTGTTCACGTTTTTGCGAAAAAAGACATCGATGTGTTCGCCAATAATAAAATATTAGAAGGTCAGTTAGCACATTTGGAAAGTATCTGTACTGAAGTGAAAGAAGTCCTACTCGTGCGTTCATATCATGACTTGCTATCAAGGTATTTTATTTTGGTCTCCACATATATATCTCCTTCATTATATTTATGTACAATTTTTACGTTTTTCTATAAAATGTTTCCTTCCTGCGAGATCAGGCTTGAAAATCAATCCGAGCAAAGAACAGCTTTGCTAGCGCGATTAGACACCAATCTGAAAAACCGTGATGTTTTATTGAGCAAAAAAAATCAGGCTGTACAAGTTCTCGAGAGTCTTAAGCATTCCACAAAAACTGCAGAACAGTAAATAATTATTACAAGATATGTTAAAGTATTGAGCATAAATAGTATATTAAAAAGAAAACTACTGTTAATTATTGATATTTTACTAATATAGATATACATCTTTTATCTCATAAATTACGAGTAATAATTTGAAAATCTCTCAGGTATAAGATAAACGGTATACAAGACATGTTGGAACAAATCGAACTCGAGAAGAAACGCGAGAAGGATCTTAAGGATCAGATAAAAGCTCATGGCGAGTTGCTCACGAATATCAGAGCGGCTTTACAGAGTATGAACACAATGTTGCTTTGCGTCAGACATAGCGGCAAAGGAGCGGTGAAGAAGCCAGTCAAAAACGGGAATAAGAAAGAACCGATAGTCAATGACAGAGAAGATGTGGAAGAACGCGACATGCTAGCAGAAATTGAAGGAATGGACACCGATGGTGAAGAAAGTTATAATTATTAATTTAAATACAGATTTAAATCTTTTTCTCCCCTTAAAACATTAAGTCACCGATAAAAACGGTTTATTAACGTGATTTACCAACTTCATAGTTTTGGTGCTGCTGTCGAAGGTCAGCAAAAAAGCGAACATTCTCTTCAATATTAGTAACTTCGATCTCAAGCAGGAGGACGAAGCCAGAGATCTTTATCACACCTACGTATCGAATTATAATTCCGGTTTGATATTCGGGACCGGTGAAGAGGAACAAATTGGTAAATCTTCTTTCATCTATAAATTGACAATTTTATCGACTCCCTCTGTACAAGTCATATAATTTACATACAGGGCTATTGGTGGAACACGAGAAGATCGACGTCACTGTTCCAACGCGGGCAGACATCAAGTACCGCAGCAGACAAGCTTTCGAGGCACATCTGAAACCGGAATAACTTATCGCGTCAGGTTTTGTCGCAATAAAATGTAACGTTTGAAAACAACTTTCATTTATTGTACAATATGCATTACCAAGTATCAATCTAGTATTCTTCGAGATCGTTGACGCGACCGTATCCACGCCTCTTCTTTATCACCTCGAATTTCAGCCAGGAAGGTCTGTACTTCTCTTCGTAATGGGCCAACGGGAATTTCTTCGGCGGCTCCGGCCCGTCGAAGGGATGAACCTTCTTCAGCTTCCTCAATAGAAACTCCTTTCTTATCTGCTTAGGATCGCGGTATTTGTCCAGATAAATATTGAAGGGTTCCCTCAAGGGGAACCACTTCTGTTTCTTTATAAACGGTTCAGGGAAATTATATCGGAATATCGGCACTCTCGTTTTTAACGTATTGTAGTAAAATTCCTTGAGCGAGGGCTCCCAGTCCGATTGAAAGAACGCCAAACCGGCAGGCGTCAAGTGATCCTGATACTTCCTGTAAAAGTCCAACGTTCTCCAATTACGCTCCTCCAGATTCAGGCAGGGCTTGGCTCTTTTGTACTCCGAGAAATCTATGCGACGCTCCTGCTTGTAGAGCACGAAGATATATCTGCAATACCCGATGCCGTACGGCGCTATCGGTTGCAGATAGTCCACCAGTTCCTCGCCCTCCTTCAGACGATTCCCAGGGATGTTGCCGACGAACCAGTGACAGTACTCGTTGTCCGCCTTAGTCAGATTACCATCCGGCGTGCACATTATCAGGGTCCACAGCGACCCGTCCTCCGCGTTGTACGTCACGTCGGGTACCCTGGAAGCTTCGCTCGGCTTGATCACGTTACCAGTGTAAACCCTCACCAGCTTGTCGTCCGCTAGATCGTAGCTCACGTCCAGCGGGACTGTCGGCATGAAGTAGGCATCACCGTACAGGTCGTCGTAGACGCCGTAGTGCTTCGCCAGTCTGTGCACGTGAGAGATCCCGTCGGTTTGCCGCCAATCTCCCCTCACCGTCTGCAGATCCACCAACAGCTTCCTGAAGCGCGACGCTCTCTCCAGCTCGGTGTCGTTCCTCCGTGCTGTGATCTCGTCCGACCAAGCGCTCGTTATTGAACGTCTGGTGATTTTCGGCACCGCGTAGCCGATGTTCACCTTGAAATCTATCGTCGGGTCTTTGCGATTGAGTTCCTCGAGACGCTGCTGCAGGTTACGGGCATAGATCGGCGCTTTCCCTCGCATCCGATGGCCGTAACGAACATGCTGGCCCCTCGGAATTAGAAGATCGGTGGCGAGATAGCGCAAGAGCTTGACAGACATGTCGCGAGCAAAATGTTCAATAATACACCATATTATTTATTAGTGCCGACCAAAAACCTAACCTAACTTAAGTGGTCTGCGCGGTCTCGGCGACGACGGCGACTCCGAAACTCCGAACGCTTTTCGATCTCTTCTTCGGTTTCGAATTTCAAATTCGACTAGGCACTAGGCTACCGAATTGAAGCTGTGGCGACATCTATTAGCGCGACAGCGAATAGTTGGTGTAACGACGAAGATGAGTTTCGCTGGCGCGCTAATAGATGTCGCCACAAGTTCAATTCGGCAATCGAAACTTTTAAACTTCCGCGATCGGTCGGCAGATGGCGCCAACGTGCCCGACATTCGGCCGAAGATGAGACCGCCCAATTACGCTTAGCGCGAACGGTTTGCGGTGCTCGCCGCGACGTGCTTGTTGTTCCGGCGATCGTGATGATGTTTGCCTGGGACGCGCCGCGCCTTTAGCGTCTCGCCCGCGACGCATTGAACGTCGCCGCGCGAATCGAACGCGCGCGCCGTCCGCTCGATCCGACCGACCGATTCGTTCTCCATGTGATCCTCCATGTCGCACGTGCGTCCCGTCGGCTCGAGATTTGATCCGCACCGATAACGCGACGGGAATGGGCTGCCCGCGGGGTACGGCGGCGCGTGACACGTCTGGTTTTTGACAGGGGTTTTCCCCGATGCGCCCCGCGCGAACCGGCCGAGCATTGTACACCCTGGATTCCCGTTCGCTACTGAGAGTTCATCGTCGATCGTCGCGTGAGTGGTTGGGAATGGACATTTTTTGACGCGCCGCCACCGGCCCGCTGTCTTCTACCGTGTTTTGATATCTTTCAGATGCGTGCCGCAATGCCGATGGCAGCGAGAGGGACCGCGCGAGCAGTGATCCATCTGTAAAAATGGTACGTCTCCCCCTCCTCTCTGGAATCCCTCGTTTTTCACGAGAGAATTTTTGACGATTGTTCTTCGATCAAAATATGCTTTATCAATTTACTTAGTCGAAACCAAAAGTGCTTGTTAAAATCCTCACAATTGGATTAAAAATATGTTATGACATATTTGCTTTTCATGATATACGTATTTTTGACAGTTGTGTTCTTACTGTGCAATTTGAGGAATTTTCATTTTAAATCCATGAAGAATTAACTCTCTTATATTTGTAAATTAAATTCAAAATAAAAGTGATGAAGAACGTTAGCTCTCAAACTGTGTACCACAGTTGCGCAACAAGAAATTTGAATGGAATGCAGCGTTATGGTTTTTAAAGGCTTTCGCATGTTCCAACTTCCAGTATATAAGAGAGACAAGTAAGCAGCAGAAACTGTAAATATGTCGGCTTGATTGCCTGTGCAAGATGAGATTCAATAAGCAAGAGCTATTGACTCTGGCTACGCAGCCTTCGCAGAAATTCGAGAAGGAGGGCATCCTGTACGTAAGAGAACGGCAAGAAGGCTTCTTTCGCAGGACAGAAAGTGAGTTCTCGGAATGTTTTTACAAGCCCGATAGATACCTCTTTAAATCACATAGCAACAGAATTTATCCTGGCGAATGAACCGATGCATGATCGACCCCTCGTTTTCAAAGCTTGACGATATACTTAATACGACGTGAGAATTCCTCGTTTGGCGTTTGACGTAGAGCCCTAGAAAATTGTGCCATTCAGATTGTTGAATGTGTTTACGAGTAAAGAATAAATGGCTGCGTTTGATCCGAGCTTTGTTTTAGTCAGAAAAGAGAGATTATTGTTTATTATCGTCGTTCCAAGTCTTTTTATAGTCTGATTGGAGCTGTTTGATATTTACGCTCGTATACCCTTATAGCTGTTGACTTATTAACTGTTACGTTAATAGATGACGGAATATGTTGCACGAAATAGACTTTATCGGCTCCCTTGGCCTATAGGCCTGCGATAGCAGCGGAGAGACTTAATAATTTATACCCGTTTTTCTCTGTCTCCTTTCGTATTACGGCATGGCTTTGCACGAAGCAGAATATTTGTTTTGTCGTGCGTCATTTGAATGACGTCATTAGAAACTTCGCGGAGGTATCAAGAGTATATAGAGGCGGAGTCTATTCGGATACTTCAACCATTATCCAGAGTTCATTAACTTGAGTTTAATTCAGCTACTTAAATACTTATCGGGGCAAAAAGTTAGTAAAACAATAATGTTTCGATATTACGAGGCACAAACATTTTAATGACAGAGTGAAACTCCGTCTCGCTCCTAATTGGAAGATAATTTCTGACATTATCACAACGCAAAAGATAGAATCGGATGAGTTACTTCCGTAAAAATAGGATATGCTCTGTTGCTTAACTCTCTATGTAATTATCACCCCGCGATAAGAATGATCATTCGTATCGACGGGATATTAATAAACTGATAACAAAGAGATTCGCAGAATTTCATTTCCACGCGATCTGTCATAAATCGATACGCCCTGACATAATCGCAAACAGATAAAATTAGGTCACTCTGGTCACTCGCTGGCTCTTTCTCCCTCTTTCCCTTTACCTTTGTCAGGATGTCGTTGTGGCGACTATCAGCATCTCGTGAAATTTTCAGGTACAGGTAAAAAACCCGAGAACAAAAATCAGAAAGGAAGGTCGCATAAGAGTCTACGAGATCTCAATTGCGTTACCGCCGGCGCGAGCAAAGGTATACACTTGCCCGAGTGCATTTTGCTATAATATGATACATAATTATGAAACCATCTCACGCTCTCACATCGCTATTTTTAACACGCGATTAACACGCTCTTTGACGGCCCGGCTAATCTTGATTAACGTGTGTGAACATTTCCGACACTTACATAAAGACACCTGCAAGAGTGATTCAACGCACGCTTTAATGAAACTAATTTCCCGTTTAATCGGTTGAGTATTGAAATAAATATTGAAAGAATCGAATAATCTGACGAATGAACGGAATATCGAACTCGAAAATTTAACATCTGTGTTCTGTATTTAATATGCTGAATCTAATTTTTCCATTGAAATTACTAAAATTGATTTTCTTGCTACTTAACGTGTAATGTTTGCATGCAGTATTCTTATTACTGAACTCTTGACTCTCGGTTCATCAGAATAAAAGCGGAAACTATTCAGTATTAACAAATTCTCACAGCTTGATATTTTGTAATCTGTTTTACTTGGTTATTTAAATTGTTATCAGGGATTAATGTATATACATATTGTACGATTACTTTTTTGATAAAAAATTAACGAAGTTTGCTTAGTAAATTACATAGAACGCTTTTTTGGTGAATCGAGAGTTACTTGCATGTGGAACAGAATGCTTCGCATGTTGTGTATGTTTTTCGAGAGAAACTCTATAAAAATAAAAAATTGTAGCGACAATGATTTAATATGCAAATGTTCATGTCATGAAAAAGGCATCACTTAAATTCAACGGGAGAACGAGTAGGAAACATCTTTTAAAATACACGTATTTACATGCATTTTGCATTTATATGTTTACAGCATATAATCTTGCTTTGAGTGCTTGTCTTGTAAATTCCCGTTCAAGATCGCATCGATCGCATTGACGAAGGGGATGAGAAGGGGAGAGATCAAGGACGCAGCGATATAATGACGAAATGATATAAGGGTAATCGGTCTCACGAGAAAACTCGTTACCCTCGAAAGGGCACATCTCTATAAAATTGGATGCGCCACATATGCATGAAAATATAGTATACAAACTTTAAGAAAGAAAAATTATCTGGTAGGGAAGAATATATTATCTTGGCGCTAATTAATAGTCACAGGCGCAGTAGATTTAAGTCTGATTGCTGCGACAGATTTTTAATTGGATCTCCGCTCCTCGTACTATTATTAATGACCGTTTCATTGAGACTGATGTGCTCTTTCGAAAAATCTGATTATCATTGCTAATCGGTAGTCCGCAAAGAACCGAATAACATACGAGATATCGTTCTCCTCTTCCTCGTCTCTTCTTCTTTGCCGCTTGTTATCATGCAGAAATCCCCCTCCTTAACGAAAATCTCCCAGCGTACGAATGATTGCGCTTAAGCCGCTGCTGCTCTGCTTCTCTTGTGCAGTAAGTCTCGAACGATGGTGCAGACTGCGAGGCAACCTTCTGTTCTATTTCAAATCGCGGGAGCAGTGGTCGGAGCCGCTGGGAGTGATCATACTGGAGCAGTGCACGGTCCGCGTGGAACCGTCCAACAACCAGGTCCCTTACGGATTCAGCATAGGCAAGTATTTTATCATCCGTGCAGCTTCTGCATTTCCCTCTTTCTCGTCCATCCTCTTCCTTGGTGCATCGCTGCTCACGTAGCGTGCGAGGCGACGTCAAAAAGCATAGAGGGAAAAATGTTGCAGTTTTCGACGGAGGCTTGTTTCAACAGTTAGGCGCGAACACGGCCGAGGAACGGGACAGTTGGTTGCAGGCGCTGCAGCTGGCCAGCTACGAGTGCATGCGGAGCCAGTTGCTGTCGTTGCGACAGCGCATCGAAGCCTTCAGCGGGCACAAGCACGACACCGACATACAGATGTTGCGGCTGCAGCGCGGGACCTTCACAGGTGCGAACACTTTAACAGTCTTAAAGTTAGAAGTGTTTCTTTGTCTGAAACGCACGATTTTTTTCACACGTTCTTTAGCATGTTAATTATTGTAACCTTCTTTTAAATCAGACTAATTTGACAAAAATTAAACTCAATATGTACTGACGAATTTAATATTGAATTTTTAAAGCTAATTAATGCAGGATTATAGAAATATTTGTTGCTGAATTTTTATTAATAAAAATTATTATTAATAAAATGTCAATCCGACATTTTTCAACTTTGCTATTTGTTTGAAGCTTTATTGGTAATTCATAGTAAAATTGTATTTTTTGTGGATTGCTATTCACACTTTATGGTGCATGAAGCATAGTTGGTAAAATTTGGCACATTGATTTCATGCTGAATTTGTTTTCTCAGATCCGGCGGAAGTACCAATGTGCGAGATATCGTTAGCCTGCGACAATCTGTTGTGCGATGGACATGGCCGGCCACCCACTCCCGTTTTAGAGATAGATGTACAGTCGAAATCTTCCAAAACTTGGATTAAGTACGCACGAACGGAAGTCGTAGAGGTAACTACGAGAAAAATTCTCGAAAAAAAGTGTTTCTAAGTCAGCTAAAGTCAATCTGTAAGAGTTTTTTCGTGGCTTGTTTCAGCGAAGTAGTAATCCAAATTTCTTAACTACGGTAAGCTTTCGAGCTAGCGACGGGTTAACCACTGAAACAAAAATCAGGATAACCGCATACGATGTCAGGGAAAGAGTCAGCCAGACCGCAACTCCGATAGGAAGCGCGATCGTGACTTTCAGTACAGTGCAAGACACTCCTAGGTAATTTTAATTTAAATGTGTCGCTATTAAGTGAAGTCGAAAACTCTGCAAAGAAATACAAAACTCAGATTTAAAATTTATTTATACATAGTTTTTATATTAAAATTTTCTATATTTAAGAAAATTTAACTTTTTAGTTAAACATGGAGCTATTTATTAAAATTATTTAATTATATTCTTCCAATTGTTTTCATTTTTTTAAATTTTTTTTTTAGATTAAGGATACCATTAAAATCAGCGAAAACAACGACAGTCGGATTTTTAACGATTAACGTGTGGAATCTGGAAGCCGAGGATAAAGGGAATAGCACAGAGAGTACACCATCGCGAAATGCAGTATACAGCAACAACAATCAACAACAAGTAATATGTTAATTCAATTAGCGTTTTTCATTGATGACAGATTTCGTCGTCACACCACTATTATACAGAAAGAGAAAGACATTTAATTCTTATTGATATATTTTTTCTAGTTACCTTCGCACAGACGCTCGCAGTCGTTACCTCCGAGATTAGGGACAAAAATTAAGTTCCCGCATCAAGGCCAGTTGAAACTTCTCTTTGCAAATCCATTTGTGCAGACTTACAGGTAAGTTTCTACAAGTTTTTACACCAACGAATCGACTTTATTGGTGCATTTTATAGTCATCATCTAATTTGATTATCGTAGGTTCCATTCCGGACTAGGGGGTGATATTTGCGTACACGAGATTATGGCGGAGAGCAAACTCTGTTTCCAATTTCCGCAACATTTACTGTGAGCATATTTTATTTTATCTTGTGTTAATGGCGATTAAAGCGCGAAGGGAAATAACGTAGCGGCAAATTGCAGGGGTATTTGGATACAGGAAGAAAAGGAATTGTTGCAAGAGGTAGCTGGAATGGGAGAATTGAGGGAGCCTTGGCATACGAAGCAAATCGAATTGCTTGATCGTCATCTTCACTTGTTACATTTGTATTCCCAAGCCAAAGAAAACTTAGCCGCCTACAAAGGTGAAGATATCGATATTCATGTTTAATTCGTAATAAATAACTCAATGTATTTATGAAAGAAAGTAAACCCGTCTCTAAAAATCTAATATTCGAACGTTTAATGATTCGCATTTCAGGGAGTTATTTCAAGCAGTCGTCGCGAAAAAACGACCGTACTCTCGAATTTGCGCCTTTAAATTTACATCTTCAACGAATGTGGGTTCACAACGACACGTTGAACAAATGCGGATTTTATGATTTTATTAGCGTAGGAGCATTTACCGCCCATTCCCATAAAAGCAAAAACGGCGGACTTATAAGGTACAGTTTCTTATCCAAGTGATCGTCAAAATATATAAAATACAATTATAGTTTTTAATAATATTGTTCATTCGTTTGCAGATTAGTACAGGCACTGAAGGAGTCGCCTATGCGAAGTAATCAACTGTATCAGGGAACATCCAAAATTACGATGGCGCATGACGCGATCCAAGCGATCAAACAATTACGCCGGGACGTTGTAGAGGCAATGAGATCCTTGATGAAACTTGCCAAGGAGAAGCAAACGAGTGGCATGCTGCCGATATGCGAGGATATGATCACGAAGACCAGGATCTTACTTAGTCTGTGGGATCCCGGCTTGGTAGAGGAGGCTTTAACGTTTTTAGAAGAGTACAAAGTCGCGAAGGTCCAGGACAACTCGACCACGACCTCGTCTTCGGACGACACTTTGACACTGGATTTTAAGATTAATCAGTCCTTGTCGCCGTTCAAACGGATCACGCAACAGCTGAACTTTGACTTGAGGAGCCCTGATTTCGACGACTTTGTCACGCCCGATACTCCTGAGTGCGTGCAGGACATCTGGACGAGGAACGGCATCAGAAATGGCGAGTACGCTTCCATAGCGTATTCGAAAAACGAGGCGCCCAACAATAACACCGGCGAGAGCGATGTTGCAGAAGAGAATTTCGTAATATTTCCAGACGTGGAGGACGATCCTAAGCAGACAGAAGCGGAAATCGATGAGAATGTTCAGCGAAGTAACGACAACGAGAAAAAAGAAGGCTATGACGACGAGAAGGAAGATTTGAAGAATGATACTGATCCGTGCAAGCGTTTCTTGGATACTCAGAAGATGTGCAATTCGCCATCCGCAAACTATTACAAACCTACAGACGAGCCAGAGCCGTGGGATCTCACTCAATTGAATATTGAGGCGAGCGTCATGTGCCTCGTATCAAAGGTGAAATTTCTCTGCGGTAGATGCAGCAGTCCGGCCGTACGATTGCGTAACAAAAATAGCCTGAGCAGATCGCAGAGTTTGAAGGGTTGCTTGCCGAGTAATCGGCATAACGTTGAAGTCGTTACAATTCAGCCGAAAAACGGTATCAAATGCGAGGAGTCAAACAAATTGCTGGAGGAGTCGAACGAGCGGCAGCAGTCCAGCCCGGGATTAGAAAAACCGGCGTTCTCCAAGGCAAAAGAAGGTAAGGAAGCCGCTTTATTAGGATGTAATTTTTTAATGCAAAAACGTAGTAAAAACCCGCAACATAATGCATTGTTAGGGATAACCGATACTTATCGTAACTCGTCTTCCAATGAAGTGTGCCAAGCAGTCGATTCGATGACGCGCGTGATCAAAAATAATTCGGGACAGAGAAACAAGTTTACCGAAGGCCTAGACTTCGCGTCGATCGTCGATTGGACGAGCGAGCTCAGGCCGAGCATGAAGAAGCTGCGGCAGGCCATGGACGGTCTGCTGAAAACTGCCAGACTGACCCACTCTGTATTTCGCGTACAGGAAGACTCGAAAATGGCGCAGCGCGTGTGCAACGTTCGGTATAGACGAGACGTTTGCTTCAGTCAAGCGGTGAGCGTCTCATATTATTCAACTTGGTAAGAAAGATATGTGAGAGCATCTACTAAATAACTCCGTAAAATTTCAGCTAACTGCCTTAGTAACTGGCATAATGGCGAAACTATGGTGCCAACGGCCCGATCCAATGTTTCTCCTAATTCTCACAACTCTGGGACCATTGGTTTCCTTCGAAGGCCTTCTTAGCTATTACGGAGACGAGATAGACATGTGGGGCGACATGGCTGTAGCGGTCGAAGACACGCATACCGTTACATTTACTCTGTCCAGATGTGGCATTCAACACAGGTAGGCGGAAGCTTTATTTGTCACGTTTCTTGATTGAATTACGTTAAAAAAAGATGTTTTCATCTAAATGCGAATGCTATCCTTGCAGAGTTGATAGAAAGTCTAGCACGTTCCAGCTTCCTACGCCGCGCGTAGTAGGATCGCGGAGTGCGTTGACGGTGATACTCCCGGTTCCGGACGCGATTTACTCTCTCTTGCCATTAGTGCCCTCCTCGAGACAAACATTATCGTTTAACGTGACCCCGGTGTTCTTCAACGTTGGTATTAACGAGATGGCTTCCTTAGCCGAGAGTCTCGGCACCACGAAGCCACAGGAGAAAAGTAACATGGACAACTTCGACAGATTGAATGAATATTATTTGAGATTTAAGAAGCTGAATCTACCGACGGAACCTGCATCTACACGTTGTAAGTAAAAAACTAAAAGACAACAAAAAGCTAAGAAATATCGCTTAAAAAATTTAGAATCTAATTTGTAAAACATTTAACCTATCCGATATTTTCTTTCAATGCCTTTTAGACGTTTGTGTCGTTTAGATACTTTTCTTTTCGATAGATTTTAAAATTGATACATCTTTTTATTACAGTTGCCGCTAGGTCGATTCTGGGCCACACATTGTCGGATATGATGACCAATTTGAAGACCTGTGTGCAAGAAAAGGTCAACAAGAATGTAGAAATCTTGCAATTGTCCTCGCAAATATGCCGAAGAATGCGCGGTTTGAGATTCACCAGCTGCAAAAGCGCGAAAGATCGGACCAGTATGTCGATCACTCTTGAACAAGTCAATATATTATCGTCGGAATATCACCTGGCTGAACACGAGTACATGAGGGCTCTCGACTGTATGCGAAGGTGAGTGCAAAAGATAAAGAGAAAAATATTTGATCGGGGCTGATTGATCAATAGCAATAATCATATTTTTAAGAACAGTTTCCACTCTCACAGGGTGCCAAATAATTTTTTGTACCGCAAATATTTCTGAAAATAACATCTCTCTTTAAAAAAATTAGATATTTTAAATTTCTTTCTTTATGTTATTGAGACCATCTCGTAGGTCTGATATGATATCTGATATTATATAATCTGATGTGAACGCATTGCTCCCCTCTGTTCTAGCGAGGGCTGTCGCCGGGAAAACACGTGGAAGAACATCGGCGTGCGCAAGTACGCGTTCAACAGCTTGCAGATTTTGACGCTGCCCAGACTCTACCGACCGCCGACCGGCACGTACGGATCTGCCCAGACTTAAGGAGGAATCCAATTAGCGTTAACGTACGCACATTGCACGAAATTAAGTTTGACTTTCTGGCTGTGTAATCGCGGATTAATTTCCGTAGTATGTGCTAAGTATGTAGTACTTGTTACAGAGTAGCAGATACTGAACGCCGAGATGCGTTGAAGTGACGTAATTCTTTAGAGAATTTATCGGGGACACGCGACTGGCACGTGTTGGGCATACGAAATGCCTAAACAGAGGGACGTAGCAATATAACAATAAGAAAGAGCTTCTACGTTCGCTTTTTAATTTTTTTCTTGTTGAGATTTTTTTTGTTTTGCGCTCTGAGATTTCAACTAATTGTTAGTTGTGTGGAGGAATTCCATGTTTTGTTTTCGCATATAAAAGTTGTAGCTGCGCTCCCCTCCTCCCTTCGGAGAGCAGCATTTAATTACTTAAGTGCATTATTGCCTAGATTTGCGACGTAGAACAGACGCGAATTAACGCGAGCTCGGTTACCGCGCAATAGTAAGCGGTAAATTATTTATGTAACGTGTATTGTAATGGGGCTGGCCGGGATTGCAGGGTGAATCGGATTATGATAAAAACTCCCATGCCGATTCGTTTCGATTTCGTTGAGATTTTTTTTATTTGATTTCGACTTACTTCCGTATCTTTTGGAAATTCTTTCAGTATCTGTTGTTTTCTGTTCTTATCTATATGCTGTTTTTACGGTGCAGGTTTTTAACTTTGATCTAATTCACCCTTCATTCTAACCCGCGATTGTTGGCGAGTTTTTGCAATATCCATGCTTCGGATACCGTAAACGCTAAACTCGCGAGTTTGATATATTTTGTAAAGGCTGCAAATAAATTATGAGTTATCAATTATTTCCGTTGCAGTATTGCACGTAATTTTAGCGTTTATCGTATTCAAAACACGGTATTGCAAAAGCTCTCTGTTATATCTAATCGAATCTATCGTGTTCGTTGAATCGATTATTCGCCTTTACAGGAATAATTAGCTCGGTGCCATTTTCTGCCATATTATTACTCATGGAATATCCGATAATGTTTAGCATCGTTAGCATCGATTTCGAGGGAATATCGTGAAGATTGTATAAACGTTATTCAGGAATGAATGACATTGTATTTAACGGGAGAATGTTATTTTCACACGCGTCTGTGCGTGCGGGAATTCAACGTGTTACATCCAACATTTTGTCATACAAAAGAATCCAAACACAGACACGTAGCCGTACTTCCATCACCCCAATTCAATAATCTACTAACGCGTTACCATATCCGTAAATATAAACGGTAGACTCCAACAGGTTGGACATTGTTTTCAATAAATTATTAATTTTACCCGAACGCCGAAGTGGCTTTTGCTTTTCTCGTTTTCTCCAATTAGGCGACACAACAAAAATCCATATCCTTCATTTAAAATATTTATATATGATACATTCCTGCGATTTGCGCTTAAATTTATTCTGCAAATCGCGAACAAGAAAGAGAGAGACATCCAATCTTTCAAATAGATCTTAATCTAACAGAATCTTGACTGGAGAGATACTTACTAAAATGCTAACTATAGATAAAGTTGAAAAATTTTACAGAAAGATGTATAGTTTGACTCAAATCAAATTTTACCGGAGAAAAAAAAAAATCTCTCGCCCCGTTTGCCAGACGCGATTATTACCCAGCACCCTGTACTCGCGCATTTATCATATCGCGATCTCATACGACGTATCTATTACGATCTCATACTCATCTCGGGATATGAGTGGGCAGAGACGGCTCGCATAGCAGTGGCGTGTGGGGATAGGGACGGCCGCGCGCGAGACAATATATACCTGACGAGGGCCTGGTGTTGCCGAACACCTGCTCCACACCGGGTCCGAGCGGACCTTTGTCCAAGGGATATAAAACTCGTACACCGTTTCGGCCGCGCCAGTAGACTTTCGAGAGGTGATCAAGCACACAATCCCCGCTCCGCACGTGACTTCGCGACTCGACTGAACGATCTCGCCCATCGAGATCAATCGGATGGCAATCGCGTACAAATCACGTTAAATCACGGTAAATCTCGTCGATCGCTAAATAAGGTGAAGAATTTTTATTAAGGAAATTCAGAGTTAAGACTTCGACGAGAATTTTCGAAAATTCGAAGATGCAAGGCTTCAGAAAACATTAAAATCTGGAAATAAAGAAGTTTTGTTAATTACCGAGCCCGAGAATCTGTGCGAATGGTAAAATAATACACAGGATACAATAATACACTCGAGGATTCATAAAATAAAAAATATATATCTTTGTGAAGGAGAATATATGAATTGTGAAGTATAAAAGTCCGAAGATCTTGACTGAAGATACCCAAGAGATCAGCGGAGATGACGAATCTACGGTTGCTGTTAACAGCGATTATCGCCGCGAGTACGTTGATTGCCGGCACGCGCGCGGATGAAGATCTCAATAGCACGATCAAGCTATTGCAGGAGCAAGTGAGCGCGCTGTTGGATCATCGACAGGAGGATTACAATGCCTTGGAGGAGAGTCTGAAACAAGCAATGGAAAAGAATACGGAACTCATCGTCCTTAGGAATGAAGTTAAGCAACTGAGGTAAGACGCGATTTACTGTAACGTCTTTTTTTTTTGCATGTAGTGTATTGTAATACAATACACATGTACTAGAACTCACCAAGTGCATAATTACGTTATTGGCTGGTGCGAGAAGCCTTAGAAGTTAATTCAAGTCTAAGGTTTCTGTCAGGCCAATTTTGTATAAAGATCAGGATCATAGAGTTTCTTACGTATTTTTTTAAAAATTATCAGAATTTAATAGTAAGATCTGAATTTTTAGGTGAGCAGTAATTTTTTATTGCAATAAGATTTAATATACGTGTAAAGTTATTTTGATAATAAGAGATGAAAATATAGATTTACCCTAGTTTTTTCCTTATTTTTAAAGTATACGATGGTTTTAGCTGTTCCTCTATTGCTTTTATCGTACACGAAGAGAGGATTTTGGTCGCTTTAATGATGGGGTGCCATAAAAACATATTATAATCGTATCCCCTCGCACGTGCAGGAAGGAAGTGAACGCACTTCGCGGCGGAAGCGGCAACGAGGCGAAGAACGAGAGATTGAGGGTGCGATGGCTAGGCAGTGCCGTGACGGAGCTACAAAGCGAGGTCGCCGAGGTGCTCAGGACGCGGAACGCCAGCGAGGAGCTTGCCGAGCGCTCGAGGATGAGGAGCGAACTGGCCCTGCTGAAGGGCGACGTCGCCGAGGTCGGCAGAAGCATACGCGATCTCGGTGGGAGGATCACCAAGATCGAGGCCACCCTTGGTACCATCAGGCTCGACATCGCCGCGACCAAGGAACGCGCCAGCCTCCTGTCCCGCTCCTGCGCGGATGTCAGTAGTCAGGTGAGTTGTCTTCTTCTCGCAGATGTTAAAGAGTAAGGCTGGCTGACATCAGAAAAAAAAACAGCGGAAGATGATAGGCAGATGGTACCAATTTGCAACGCAGTTGAACCAAACCAGGCGTAGGAATGAGAGGAGGGAAATTTACTTATTGCTCAAAGAATATATTTCATTCCGAAGCAACGGATTAATCTTTTATTTCGTGATTATTTTTCGTAAGAATAGAATTTATATTCGAGTTTAAGTTTGTTAGTTTCTGAAGTATTTTACTTCAACTGATACGTATTATAATTTGCTCAATCGCCAGATGTTTAAGATAATTAAGCGTTGCTCAAATCAGATTCTCTTCTCTTTTACATGAATGTAATATAAAATCTAGAAGAGAATGATATGTCCTACGTATACAGATATGTATACGTATATTACGTATGTTCTTCAATACCGTCGTCGATGACTTTCTCCGACAACGGGATTCCTAGATCCGCGCGTGCCGCTCAATGACCACGGCCGATTTTTTCGCCCACAATGGCTCGAGATCGATTTCGTGGTATGCGTATACACGCCGAAGGGCCCGGCATGCGGTCGCTCGCGCGCGGACAACGGGCGTCCGTGTAGATAACGGCTGCCGCTACCATTTAGTATTTATGGCAGGAAGAAGAAAGGGGGATGTATGGTCGGTGCACCTGCGCCTTGCACGGGGCGGCCAGCTGCTTGGTTCCTGTTTCTCGTTTTGCCGCTTGGCAGCTGCTTCTCAACCTCCTCCTCCTCCTCTTCCCTTCCTCCCGCCTCGCCCGCGCAACGGGCCTCTCCTTTGGGCCGCACGCATATGCCCCTCAGGCCCACCAGCCTACCCTCCCTCCTCTTAAATACTTGCCGCCCTTGCGCTTCTACCTTCAACTCTCAATCGTCATAAGAAGTCAAATATAATAAAATATAAGAATAAGATTTGCAAAGAATGAGAGAGTTAAGCACTAAATATAATATAAATTAAAATTTATCTCGTGCAATGTTTACGCCAAGTTACTTTTTAATGGTATAAAATGTGTTTTGGATTTTTAAAAATATTTTACAGAGAAAAAGAACGATAATGGAACATCGTGTTCGCTAAGTCAGTTATTTAAAAAATATAAATAATGATATAACATATGAAGTCATGTCACATATTCAAATGGTATGAGATAATATTAAATTAATAATTTTGAATTCTTCCCTAATGCACAAGAGAAATTCTATGACCATGCATCTGCGCGTGTTTATAAATTCGTTTTCGATACAAGTTTCGCTCGGTGATCCTTACCGTCTGTGGTATTTGACACACGCTGGCGACCGCAGCCACACGAGTCGACAGCTGTGGCCCTACTCTCACGCATTCCACAAATGCGAGAGTGTATTACACACGTGCAGTCACGCATACCACGTAATCAAGGACCGCCTGTAAAAAGTCGACGGATTAAAGAGAATTGGTAGAAAATTTTCTGGAATGAAAAGATTCACGTGTGATCAGAGACTAATACTTTCACTAATTGCTTTTGAAGTTACTTGTTTACTTTAAAACATTCCGACCACCGTGTCTTGTTTTTAAAGATCTCAATCATAGAGAAATGTTAAGAGAGCAATGACGAGCCAACATTCGTCTGCTAGACAAAATGCAAAACTTACCCTTTTTATTTGTTGCAGTTAAGCACGGTGCAGATCGAGCTGAAGTCCCTGAAATGCGAGTCCACGGTTCCCGATCAGCGGCAGGATCCGCAGAAGCTGGAACATCGCAATAAGGCTGACATCTTTCGCAACGAGGTGAGCGGGTCGCACGAGATTGCGTCAACCCGAAGACACAGCTATTCCCGCGCCTTGGCTCATCGCGCTCGCCTCGAGGAACGTCTACGTAACGTCGAACGGAAGATCTCCGTGGTAGCGCGGAAGCGAACGATGGTGGAGAAACGAGTGGTATACGAGGATCGTGAGCAACTTGAGGGACGGATGAGGAGCCTCGAAATGGCGCAAGCAGAGCTCTCGAGAAGGGTATCCAATGCCACCCGGGATCTGGTGTCGATGAACGAGCTGGATGAGTCCGTGGTGCGACTGTACGACTCGGTTCGTCTGCTCGAGGAAGCCGTTTACACCAATCGTTCCGAGGTAAAGCGAGAGCTTGCGAAACTGGAGATAAACGCGGCGCGAAAGGCGGCCGAGCTGTCGCTGACCAGGGAAGAGCTTGGCAATCTTCGACGGGCGGTTCAGGCGTTGAGCGTGAGCGCGTCGCAGCTGCAGGAGAGGAGCGACGTGCAGCGAAAGAGTCTGGACACCTTGAACGAGACCCTCAGTCGGCTGGACCTTTCCCGGAATCTGGCCAAGGCGGTGAACGTCACACACGAACTAGAACAGGTGGAAGACCAGTACCGTCTCATGGTAGACTCCCTTCCGGGAAATTGCGAGGAGCGCGATGGTTTGACTTTGCTGGCACCTGGTCCCGGAGCACCGTTGCTGGCCTCCTGCCGCGCCGGCTGGATCGTCGTGGCTCGCAGAATTGACGGCGCTGTCGACTTCGATCGCACCTGGAACGAGTATTCGATCGGCTTCGGTTCGCCGGTCAGCGAGTTGTGGATCGGCAATGAGGCGTTGCATCGACTCACTCGCGATAACTGTAGCAGGCTGCGGGTCGACCTGACCGATACCTACGGCGTGCACTGGCGCGCCGAGTACGAGCACTTCACGATTGACTCCGAGGAAACTGGTTATCGACTCCACGTATCCGGTTATTCGGGCAACGCGACCGACGCACTGTCCTATCAGGACGGCATGGCATTTAGCGCTAAGGACCGCGACATGGACATCAGCACCACCGACTGCGCAGCCAATTATCGGGGCGGTTGGTGGTTCAGTCATTGCCAACACGCCAATCTCAACGGTAGATATACCTTGGGTTTGACATGGTTCCAGTCGACGACCAACGAGTGGATGGCAGTTGCATCTTCCGAGATGTTGGTGCAACGGAAGCAAAACTGTTGATAATCTTGAAGTTATTCACGTCGAGTTGATAGAATGACGCTAATTGATGAACTGCAAGAAAATGAAAGTTCTGTATAATTTGATTCGTGCATCACGTACGTAATCAGTCCACAAGAACACTTGATTGTAATGCCAAAGAGTTAAGTGTAATTTAAAGACTTTAATGTAAATACATTGTATAGTTATGCACAAATGGAGTAATGCTGTAAACGTGCAAAGAATAAATATTACTTATTGTATCTGTATAGTAATAAAAAGTCATTAAAAGTCACTAACTTTTGGTTAAATTAAAAAATTGCGTATTAAAAAATTTCAAGTCACTAAAAGGACTATTATTAACCAACTGTTATATTATTTCTCAATATTTAAAATAGGTTCTTTTACGGGTAGCATGTAAGATAAATGCTATTACATCATTTCATAGTATATATGTATTATAATTTCACTTTCGCAGTTATCTCTCATATTTCATCCGCTTAGCGTCACAGCCATTGATGGAGAACGTCAGTTGTTAGAGGTGGGAATGTTTCGTGACCAGTAATAAGCGATTGCAACCACCATTTATCTTCATACCCTGAATTCGAATCTATATTTAGATAAACGTATTATTTACACGCTGAATGCATTTGAAGAAACAGCGTTGAGTGTTGTAAACTTATTTAATTTGAACAAGAGACGGTTACAGACGGATACAGAAGATGTACAGATTTATTGCGTATGTGCGTTACGTATCAATTCAATAGTACGATATGACGTGTCTTTGCTGATTATTGTATTAAAATGTTGCAACGTATCAGTAATGAGGCAACTTTCTTCACTAATACGTAAAGACGACGCGGATACAATAAGTCCTGTATCCGTCTTAAGATTACATATGGGGACATAATACTGCTAATTATTAAAAAAAAAATTATATATATAAACATGAAATTAATAAAATTAAATAAATTGTACAATACTAAGTTGATTAATGGAAATATAAT